TAATTTTCTTAAAAAGTTAATGCATTCATATGAATAAAGTTTGAGAAGAAATAGAAGAAAAAAAAAAAAAAAAAAAAAGAAATGTTGTAATAAAAATTTAAAAAATTTTTTCATTTTAAAATATTGGAAAAAAAAAAAAAAAAAAAAAAAAAAAAAAAAAAAAAAAAAAAAAAAACAGAGTGAACAAAATTGCACTCTCTATGTAACGATGCAACACAATTAACATGTCCATAAGAGGTTGAGTCAATCCATTCCTTAAAACAAGTCTTAATTTTTTTTTTTTTTTTTTTTTTTTTTTTCTCTCCAAGTTCTTGAGCACGGATACGACGATGTATATTTAAAAGGACTGTAAGGAATATAAAACGTTTCTAATTTGGTTGTTTATCAAAAATGCTTGTAAAAATATTTCTGATTGAACAGCTTCATTCAAATGTTTTTTTTCCCGTTTCTTATTTTAGAAAAATTAAAAATCAAAACATTGGATTAGCAATTGAAGGTTATAAGAAAGAGAATGCACCCCCGCTTTCACCCACAGTTTCTAAGAAATGAATTATAACATATGATGTATACATTTTTTAAAAAAGAAAAAAATGTTCATTTTTATAGAATCTTTGCACCCCTTTTCGGATTTGCCCTTTGACGGAATTGTTGGCTTGGGATTTTCAGACCGTACGATATTTTATCCTTTTGACCTTTTTTGTCTGTTTCTCCTTTTGGCTCTCTTTGACCTACTGTACTTCCTTCAGCACACTTACAACGACACACATAATTTGTTTCTCCCCCTTAACCGCTCCAACTTGTGCGAAGCGGATTTTAGTTTTAAAAACGGATACGGGACACCCTTAATTGAGACAATTAAAAATCAGGTGTGTGATCTAATGGGGACACGGTGACATAGAAACATGGAAACATGGAATAATAGAAACATGGAAAAATAGAAACATGGAAAAATAGAAACATGGAAAAATAGAAACATGGAAAAATAGAAACATGGAAAAATAGAAACATGGAAATTCACAATCGTGGTGAAACAACTCAGGCGTGAATAACATAAGAATGATCAAATTCCCATCCCTTCCCAAAACGCTAGAACCTTCTGCAAAGAAACATTTTCTCCTTTTACGTGCCAAGGAAACTGCAAGAGTAAGCACAAGTATGTATGTATGTATGTATATACATATATGTATACCAGTGCGTCACCACACACACATCTTCAGATGCACATTTAAGGGTTGAAATTATTCGAACTTTTCTCTCGTTGGACAGGTCTGGCTCTATTACATTCGGTCAAGCTAACAGTAAATATGCCCTTGGAGGAAGAGAAGTGGAATGGTTTCCTGTCATATCAATTTGTGAGAGATAAAAAAAAAAAAAAAATGCACTTGATATATTTTTTTAATCATTCCGAATTCTTCCTATTCTTTACGCATTTTAATTACATATGTAGCACACATACACATTCATTCTTGCGTCATTTTTGCAAACAGATTTCTGGGAAGTTAACCTGATAGACATACAACTCTCTGACAAAAATTTAAACATTTGTGAAAATAAAAAATGTAGAGCTGCCATAGACACTGGGTCTAGTTTAGTAAGAATTATTTCTTAATCAATTCAATGAGAGAAGAAAAAAAAAAAATTGTCTCACGAAATATTGTGACCTAAATTTTTTTTTTTTTTCTTTTTTTTTTTGAACTGTTCATATTTTTTTTATTTTTTTTTTTGAACTGTTCATATTTTTTTTATTTTTTTTTTTTGAACTGTTCTTATTTTTTTTATTTTTTTTTTTTTGAACTGATCATATATATATTTTTTTTTTTAGCTAACTGGACCATCTAACATTATGCAACCACTAATAGAAAAGCTGGATCTACAGAAGGACTGTTCAAATAAAAAGAACTTGCCAAATATTTCCTTTATTTTAAAAAATGTCCACGGGAAGGAGGTGAAACTTGATTTCACACCAGATGATTACATTCTTGAGGAAACGGACGAGGTAGTGCAAATGGAAAAGCTTACGAATAGAAGCTAGTCACTGATAGAAACATGTTGTTTTTGAGGGAACCTTTTAAAAAATAAAAAAATATGCAAAAATTTAAATGGAACATTATTAATGATAAATGATGAACAGAAAATACGTATTTCGTGCGAGGTGTATACTTCATTCCGTCCTTCACACACATTATACCTTTCTCTTCATTTTTTTTTTTTTTTTTTAATGTTGTGTATGTACATCGATTGTAGGAGGATAATTCTGTTCAGTGTAAGATTTTATATATAGATATGTTATTATCTAGTGCGGTTAACTTTGTACTGTTTGTAATTTTATCACCTCTTCATTTAATATGTTGCATTCGTTTCTTCTCACCTCCCCTGTCCGACTTTACAGGTGTTATAGGAATAATGTCGCTAGATATTCCTGCACCTCGAGGACCTATCTTCGTTTTTGGTAATGTTTCAACGAATTTGCCGAAATGACAAGAATGAGTGTTTTCCACTATGTATATATACATGCATGTTCGCCGATTGAATATGAACTACCTTCAGTATGGTCATATTTTTTTCGTCCCACTTTAACATACGCACAGGAAATGTTTTCATACGGAAATATTATTCCATATTTGACAATGACCATAAACTGGTTGGTCTTATTGAAGCAAAGCATAATTTGTAAACAAGTTATTCTGTGTGTGCGATTGTCTCTGTATAGTGGTGATACAAAAATGCCTTTCGCACTGCTCATTTACTCCTGCGAAAATACGACTTTTTAAACAGAATACGTATTCCTGACGTTTGCCACAATCGTTCGCAAAAATTCATCACCTGTAGATGTTCATTTTGGTGCTGCCCATTTTTGTACCACTCAATTATTCTTTTTCAATTACCGGTCTTCTACATATCGCACATTTATTTCTTACTTCACGTGCATGTAATAGCATAAATGATATTATTTTTTATTATTTATTTATTTTATTACTTTTTTTTTTTTTTTTTTTTTTTTTCCTTCTCCATATCCCTTGTCATCCATTTTTTGTTCATAAAAAAATGTTAAGTGATGTATTCCAAAAGGGGAGCATAGTGTAGATGGGTGAACTGAGCCATAAATTACATGTAATAAAAAATACATGTAAAAAAACTGCATGTAAAAGTGGGCCTAAATTTTGTATCCTTTTGTCGAAGCACATTTGTTACCTCATTTCCGTCTTCCAATATAATCATAACCCATTGATACTTGCATTGTGTAAACTCAAGAAGGAAAATCCAAAAAAAAAAAAAAAATGTAAAATAAATAAAAATAGAATGAGGCATTCTTTTTCTTCACAAGAAAAAAAAAAAAAAAAAAAAAAAATGCACCTTTTTTCTTGAAATAAAAAAAGAAAAGGGATTATGTGTGCATACATAATTACATCCTAGGGAAATATAAATTAAAGAAAAGTCCTTTTTTTTTTTTTTTTTTTGCTTATTTTATTTTTTTTATCCATTTTCGAAATGTAAAAAATACGGTTAGTTCCATTTATAGAACAAGGTAAAATGGAAGAACGGTTAGGAAATGTGATCATAATATCATAGCGCAATGTGAACATCCAACTTTGCTATTTTAAAAAGATTAATTTTTTTTTTTTTTTTTTTTTTTTTTTTTTTTTCCTCCCTGCGTCATTTAAAATTTTCTTTTTGTTGATTGTGATCATAAATTCTTTACAAAGCCAAGAAACCCTCTTTTCTCGAGGAAACAAAACCATGCTGTGCAAGAATAACGGATGTGCACAATTTTAGTTGAAATTAACATCTCTTAGATGAAATGAACCACCTCAAAATTATTAACAGGTGAGGTGCATGCGACGTGAAAGAAGACCTTTAGCTACCACTCGGGAGTTGCTTCTTCACAGTTTCGCTACCAGTTCGAGTAAAGTTGGTTCCACTTCTCCTAAAGTTGGTTCCACTTCTCCTAAAGTTGGCACCACTTCTCCTAAAGTTGGCACCACTTCTCCTAAAGTTGGCTCCACTTCTCCTAAAGTTGGTTCCACTTCTCCTAAAGTTGGAACTCCACACCAACGTATCATCACCTTGTGTTCACCCCTTTTTTTTTTTAGGCACGGGAAAAGCTTCAGTACCCTGTCATCCCTGAAGAAAAAATGGCAAAACCTAGGATCGTACATAACGAAGGAAAGTGACATGTCCCATTGGAGGGAATTGAATGCAAAGCTTTTCGAAGCAGAGGTGCTTGTGCAGAAGCAGGAAAAAGAGAAGTTTAAGAAGATCGATTGGAATATGTGGAACGAGAAAATTAGTAATAAGGAGGTTTTACTATGGTAAGTACAAAGGAGAGTCTCCCAGAAAAAAAGAAGTATACATTTGTTTATTCAGAGAAACGTGGTTTTATGCGTAACACACTCCACGCTTGATGTAATCGCATATTAACACATTCTGTGAGTCTTCCCCTTTTTTAACACAGCATGAAGAACTTCTACGAATATCAGATGAATTCTCTTGAGGAAATGGAGGAAATGGTGAAAGTGGAGGAAATGGAGGAAAAGAAGAAAAATCAAGAAGACGAATTGTTTGAGAAAGCACTGAAAAATTGCAAGGAGGCAGAAAAGACATCAGCTGAACTTCTGATAGATGGAGCAAAAACTTTGTGGATAAATTTTCATAACCCAGCAATAACCAACTTAGATAATAATGAATGGATTGATAGCGACTTGTATTGGCAAGCATTTGTTGAAAAACATTCGACATACAACCTGAACAGCAAAAGTTTAACTCCAGAAGACGAAGAAAATAGAAACATGGAAAAGAGCGAATGGCACAAGAAAACGACAAAATTTAATGAAAGAAGTGACACTCCCATTTTGTATGATTATATGATTAATCTTCCATCGTGGGAATATTATGATATTAATAGAAGAATTTTTTTAGAAAATTTAGTATACTTTTTGTTAAGAACAGGATTATGTTATAAATTTTTTCCTGAATTGTTTAGTTGGAAATGGAAAACTCACATAGAAGATTTACGATTTCAATATTTAGAAATAGCTCAGAGAAGAAGAAAAAATTATCAATTATCAACAGAAAAAAGGGAAGTGCCTTTGGAATTACAACCAACGGATTATGAACATAAAGGGGAAGAATATCATATGAAATTATTACAACATTTTAGGGATTATCAAAATTTAGTACTTTCTAGACTTATGGCACATTATATATTTTTATGCGACCCATTCATTCCTGTGCAAACAATGGAAATGCTACAATATGTATTGAGATCATATGAAGGCGGAAAATTATATAAATTAAATAACGACCAAGTCAATTGTTTATTTTATTTACCACCAAATTGTGATGAAAACAAAACAAATATTACATACAAACCATTGGAAGCACTAACTAATTTTAATCGATATTTGCAAGGGAAAAATATAAAATTAAACGATTCTTATTTTGCATTTTTACAAATATTTACCCAAATTATACAAGAAAGAGGGGATTTTTGGTTAACCATTCCAAATGAAAATATAGCCGATTCATTTTTGAGACGATACAATAAAGACGATTCACTTTTCCCTGTCTTTGCTGAGTACATTTCTTTGTTAAAAGAAAATTTTAAAAATAAAACAGAAATTTCACCAAATATGTATGAAAATGAAATTGTACCCATAGAACAGAAATATCTAGACGAATGTTCTTTTTTTGACCGGTTAATCAAAACTTTCCTCCCAGAAGATATTTCACTTTCATTTGATCAAGTTGTTCTGCCTGACATAACCAAGTTGGACCTGAACCAAATTAAGAAATTATTAAATGAGAAAAAAATCAGGATGCTGCACCCTCAAACACAGCAGGAGGTTCTTGACCCAGACGTGTTCATGCAGCTTGTCAAGCAGGAGGAAATCCAGCGTCAGCAGATCCACGAGTTCGTAAAATCTCTTCCAGCCTAGTGCCGTCTGGTGTGCACAATGCGCTGTATATTTCAATATATTGAAATATGTAGAAATATTTATATACATATATATATATATATATTAGGACACATTTCAACGGTCTACCCATTCGTCATACTTATGTTTTCATTTCGATAAGCAACTTTGTCGTATGTTTTCACCTATGCATGCCCACCTTCTTCGACAACCTCGTCTTTTCCACATTTTATATCCTTTTTTGCATGCTTTTTCTGCATTATTTATTATTATTATTTTATTTTATTTTTTTTTATTGTGTACGCACATTATTCTGTCTATTTCACCTGCTAACTATTCATAACTCTAATTTATTTACATTACTACCACTATGGGTATGTGAATACCAAGAATATGAAATGTCTCAAATATGTATGAACTGACTTTCCATCCAAAGGGGAGAGGGAGGGTAAAAAAAATTTTCAATCTAAACTGTTATGGACCCAAATGACAAGTACTTTTTTTTTTTTTTTTTTTTTTTTTACCACTTGGATGATCGTCGTGTATAACCGAGTAATAAACTCACGCACAAGTTTATTTGCATTTTTCACTCTTTAAGATATCTTATGTATCAGCTTGGTCAAGAAAAAAAAAAAAAAAAAAAACACACACACACACACGTACATAAACACATAAACACATATACATACACATACCATCCTTGGGGAATTAAAAAACACTTTTGAAAACAAAAACAAAACGAGCATGCTTAAATAGACAAATGGATCAAATTAGGTAAATATTTTTTACCCGAAACGGAAGTAAAACGTGAGTAAATAAGAGCACATGTATGCCTAAGCGGATGGGACGGATGCATATACACATTTTTGTGTGCATGTAAAAAGGTGGCTAAATGTGTGAAAACGTAAAAAAAAAAAAAAAAAAAAAATATACATATATATGTATATACATATATATGTACATACATATGTACATACACATGTACACCCATTTAGGGTTTTAAAGAAAAAATTAAAACTAGCATGAATGTACTAAAAACGGGTGGTACTCACTCCTTCACGCGCGTAGGCTGCAAGCGATGAAATTCATCAGTTCTATGGCCTGGCCGATTGATCAAAATTGGAAGAATTGTCCTCTGGTCCTTCCACGAAGGTGTGGGCATGATTTCTCTGCAGTGATTCGATGGTTTAGACCTATCCCTCCCCCCCCCCCCTCTGGTGTCTGATGGTGTGGGTGCTTCCGATTGAGTAAAAAATCAACGACAAATGGGCCAATCGGTACTTCCGCCTGAACGTTCAGGTATTTTTGAGGGAAAAAAGGGAAAATTTTTTTTTGAATAGCTGATTTGTTAATGTCATAATAGCTAGGTTTTGTAATGTGCTGATATGCCCTATTCAAGAGGTTATATAAACAGTGGAGGAATTTTAGGGAAAAATGAAAAAAATCATACAGAGAATGTAGTACAAATAGAGTGACATGTATTTGGTGTGCGAATGATTTACTATTTGCTTTTCTTTTATTTAACAGAATAAGAATGGAGCTGACTATGTTAATATCAAAGTAGGTATGAGACATGGATGAATAACATATGGATACTAATGCTAAATCTGTGAATGTGTGCAATTTTGCTAATATATTTCGTTTTAAAAGGGTGCATATATCTGTGGGAATGTGTATATTTAACTTAATTAAAGAGACGTAAAAGAGTGTCAAATTTCGGCTATCAAGAGAATTTATTATATTCTTCTTTTTCATAATCAAGTTTATAATAAAATGTTCTTCTCGTATTTGTAATTTTCCAAAAGCATGTAACAACATCGCCACATTTCCTGGTTGCAATAAATGTTCTCTTTTAAATAGTTTATTTTTAATAATCTCAAAAACTTTTAATTCACTCAAATTGAAATTTGCATATGCGTTTGCAAGTATTGCTAATTCAGATGGCTCAAAAAGGTTTGCATTTTTTTTAATATAAGTAAATAAATAAGAAAAAAATAATTTGTCATAAATCTGACATTTTGCATAAGCATTAGTTATCATAACAATTTCAACTGCTTTGAATTTGTAAAATTTTGAATATACAAATGGAAAAGATCTGTTGAATATATCATAATAGTTTTTTACTCCTAATTTGGAATATGAATTTAATATATTTGCCAATTCTTGTTCATTAAATTTGTCCATATTTTTTTTTATTTTTTTACTTAAATGAAAGAATAAATTCGGGAATAAAAAATTTAACTTACAATAAGCATTACATATGTTACTAATAGATTGATAACTAAGTTCATTTATTTTTTTCTGTATTAGTTGTTCCATATGTTTAAATAAATTTTCATCTCTGTAATTTAATTTTCCAAAACAGTTTGCTATTTGTGATATATCAAATGTATGTAAATCTTCTTCTTTACAACTTTGTATATAAATCGATGACTGTCTGAGGAAATTTCTATTTACCACTTGTACTCTAGCGAAAGAATTTAAAATTAAAGCTAGCCATCTTACACACAGGCTTGCTTGTATATTTTCACTGTTTAACAATTCTGTTAATTTCACACTTAGGATGTTCCAAAATGTCTTGTCATCAAATTGGTGTATAGCTAACTGGTTGCATATTAACGAGAGAGACATAAAGAAATCTTTGCACTTTATATAGTCCTTATTTAGATGTAAGCTTTTTATTACTTGGCTACTCGCATATGATAGTACGCACTTAAGTTCGTCAGGTCGTTCTTCTCCATATGCTTCGCTATGAGATTCGTTTGGTGGGTCCATTTCGGATAATTCCTCTCCATTTGATTTTCCCCCACATTTATCCCAACCTTTATCCCCACCTCTGCTATGTTCACCATTTCCCAATCTGCTTCTATGCATATTTACACATCCATCGTGTACGTCTTCACGTTTTGGTACCCTACTTGTAACAGATGTGCAGCATATATATGGCCAAGCTGATCCTGTTTTGACAGTTTGTTTGTATTTGTTTAAATCTTCTACATCTGCTTCTGTGTCTAAGCATGATGACCATTTTTTGTAAAGACATCCACCATTGCAATCCTTCAGATGGTCATCCAATTGTTTGTAGGTTTTTTCTTCCATATTACCACACTCAATACGCTGATTTGCAACTCTATGATCAAATTCTAGTTTTTCCACTTTTCCTATTTTCCATCTCGTCCTACATTCATTGGGACATTTGTTCCTCAAAGCTTTCTTTGTAATCATAATTCGCAGGTATATATGTTTCAGCATTTTTTTTTTTTTTTCTCTGAACCTTACGTTTTGCAAAACGAGGTGATATATATACAGGGAATAGGGCTAAGGGGTCCCCATTCCATATGCCAGTGAAGTGGGTCTCTCACTCAGGTGCTGGCGAGCGCATGTTCAGATTTGCATGCATCTGTATATGTGCATATCTACCTATGAATGTGCTTATGTTCGTGATTACATGCTCAGCACTTTTCGATTTTCCAAGCGATAAAAAAAAAAAAAAAGCGCTTGGCAAATCATACCACTTGGGCAGTGAGTGAAGAAAGGAAACGTTAATGAAAACATGTGAGGCGAGGGAAAAGGAGTCTCGGCCAGTAATCTCATACCGCTGTTGCTACTGTTACTGCTACTATTTTGTTTGTTTATTTATTTTATTTTATTATTTTTTTTTGCGTGCTTCCATAACGCAGCGTGTACTATATTCTTATTGCTGCCTTCCGGGGAAGCATCGCTGAATTTTCATTTATTTGTAGCTGCTTTTTGTTGGCTCAACAAGGAGTATTATTTTTCATTGAAGGGAAAATTGTTTACTCTAACGAGAATTGCTTCACATGTGGAATAAGAAGTGCTTTACCTTTGACAAGATTTTGTTGCACCCCTTGATTTTTCATTTTCTTTTTCATTTTCATTTTCTCCAATCAGGGTTCCCCTTTTTGTGTGAAAAAAAATTGTTATAAGGAGCATACGTGTGAATTACACATGGCAGACTAATGGAATTCCATACTATTTGTTTACATCATACCTTTCCTCTTTCAGTTCTACTTCTCATGGTTTTATGAGTATTACGTTTCACCATCATATTCTCTAATTTTTTTTTTTTTTTTTTTTTTTTCCCCCCACCCCCCCCCCTTGTTGCTCGATTAAACGTGGAGTGAATGGGTAAGTCAAAATAAGAAAGCGACGCGTAGAAATTTCATTTATCTTCGCATAATTCTGCATGATCTCTCGGCCTTATTTTTTACACTATATGGTCATATAATATTTTAATCTTATTTCATTTCATTTTTCGTTAAAGGAAAATCATTCTACAATAGAAGCACTCGGTTGTGGTGGGGGCACTATCATTTAAGAATCGGTAGTAGGTTGCAAGTTCGTCTAAACAAAGGTGTGAAATTTTCTCATTTTGAACACATTGGCCGATTTATTGAATTCGCTAGGTAACCTCGTGGGAGAAAAACTCTTACTCTGGAGTAGTAACTTTACAGTCTGCCCATGCATTGGGGTCAGCCAATTTGGCCACCCTGCTTTGCTGACCACACCAAACAACTAATCACCAAAATTTCTCACAGCCCACTGTTCCTCCAACTTCTCACAACGTCTGACAACTTCTGACAACTCACTACACTGCATTACCCCCCCTTCTGCTAAAGAAATTCTAGATCACTACGAGCGGCAACCCTGAGCAAGTGTCTGCGTCGAAATTTCTGGGGATCAAATTTTTACTTCACTGGAAAACCCAAAACAGGTGAAAATACACAGCAAATCTCAAAGAAGACACAGAATGAAGGTACAGGAAAAAAAAAAAAAAAAAAAAAAAAAAGGAGAAAAATAGAATGAATAAATATGCTATTTCATCTGCACTTTGAGGCCCAAGTGTTTTTTTTTTTTTTTTTTTTATGAGTTCCTAAGAGCCGAGCGATTATCGTGCACAGGGGCTCATCCACACCTACACATTTGCAGGAGCTTACATTTATGCAGTCGAACGAGGAAAAATAACACCATCCGAAATAGAACTAAAAAAATTGGAATCAGTTCTAGGGGTCCCTTTAAGAAGAGAAAAACAGAGAACACTCCTAAGGAGACTTTAAGGTGGAGAATTTCCCCATCAACACCCACCCACCCTCTCCAAAGCACAGGTGTTCAAGCTTTAACCTATATGCCCACACAGACACATGAAGACATGAAAAAAATTCCATTGTATCATTGCTTTTGTATTAAGTTCTCTTTCACTTTTTTTAGTAACTATCACCTCCTTAATTTCTTCATGATTTACATGCATACGTTCAGAAATATTTTCCCTATACGTACTTTTCCCCTTTTTTTGCTCATAAGAAGGGGGGAGGGGGGGGAAGGGGCCAAATTAGGGAGATAAACTTTTTTAGCAAACATTTTTTTTTTTTTTTTTTGGAAGAATACACACTTGTTCATCTTTAGATCGTGGTATCACTGAGGTTATATTTCGAATTTGTGCATGTACATATACATGTATTAAAATGATTTGCAATGGAAGGGAGAGGAGGGAGAAATCTCTCCCCATTTTAAGCCCCATTTTAGGGGAAAATTTCGTCCACCTCCCCCCTTGATAATGGGCTTAGACATTCTTTTACATAAGTATATTTTCGCTCCTGAAGAATGGTTGATTCATTTTCATCTTAAAATGGACTGTCTACTTCCGACACATAGGTCAATGAACACATATAAAAAAAAGAAGAAGAAGAAGACGAAGAAGAAGAAGAAGACGAAGAAGAAGAAGAAAAATATAGGAATCCTGCAATTTCATTTTCATCTTCTCTGTTGCCATTCTTCACCTCTAAAATTTAAGAGGTCACCCCAAGGGTAGTAGTGTATATATACATACATATATACACATTTTTAACCCTTTTTTCCCTATTTACTCATGCCTTTTAAATATACCATACGATCATACAATATACAATACAGCTGTCTTCCCTCCCCCCCCCTCCCTCTCGGCCATGTGTGTCTTATTTGGCATTTGCAAATATATGTTACAGAATTTGCTTATCATATGGTGTATTTGTTCGTGTGTGTATGTATCAGCATGGAGTATATAGTAAATTAAAAGTTACGTTTATCCTCAAATGGGTTTAAAATATGTGTGTACAAAGCAGACAGGATTTGCAAATGTGTACATATATATATGATCACACAACCCATGAGAACTGAAACCTTATTTTTTGAATAATAGTTCCATATATCCAATATACGTCAAGTCAGAAAAAAAAAGGGACTCTCGTCACCCCCAAAAAAAAAAAAAAAAAAAAAAAATATACATACATACATATATATATATATATATATATATATATATATATATATATATATATATATATATATATATATATATATATTTCAGGAAGGAGATACTTTTTTTAAAAAATGCTCGTAACATTTTGTAAGAATAGGTCCTTTTTCTATGTAATTGTAATATCCAAAAAATTGAAGTTTTACTACTCATATTTCTATCCCTTTCACTGTTTTTTTTTTTTTTTTTTTTTTCTCTCCCTATCTTTTTCTTCTTCTTTTTTATTTTCCAAAGGGGAAAAAAATTCACACGTGAGAAACTGGTTAAATACAACAAATCGAGAAGAAAAATCAGTTACATCGATACCAATAGGTGTGTTATAACTTCTTCGATTGCAAAACAGTTTATTAATTGTAGGAAGAAGGGGTGGAAAAATACCATTTGGAAGAAGAATAACGTGCAAAAAATATAATTAAAACATAAAAAAAAAAAAAAAAAAGAGGAAACCGGATAAGCGGCTAAACAGTGAAATGGCTAAAAGATGGGCACATATAATATATACTACAGAGTGTAACATGTGGAAGCACAGTTTCGGCAAAAAAAAAGAAGTAAAAAAAAAGAAAAAAAACTAATGAAATGAGAAACACAAGTGAGGCTACACGAGAAAAAAAAAAAAAAAAATATATTAAATGCTACCAAAAAGCAACATTTAAAAAAACACAAAAAAAAAGAAATATATATATATATAGGGCCTCGAAAAAATATTGACCATTGGGATGACGCCCAAATCAAAAACTGATTATATATATATATATATATATATATGTATAACGTCCTTGTCGCGTATGTACCTAATGACAGCAGAAAAAAAATAAAATAATATATCCCCAGGGAACATTGAACGATAAGAAAAGAAGAAACACACCATTCTTGATCTGTATGCACACGCGCACATGCTTACGTGTGTATACGTGTTCCACATTGTGAAGTATAGGGGAAAGTAACATAGGGGTAAAGAAGGGATATCTTTTGGGATGGAGGGGGGAAAAATCATCAACCTGCAAAGTGTTACGAACGGAAGTGCATTGTTACTGGACACAAAGGCCACACAGGTAGAGACGCAAAAGGCAACCACAGCTACAGAGACTAAACTGACGAAGTATGAACAGCAGCACAGCCAGGGCAGAATCGGACGAAGGATTTGATAGAAATGATATTTTTTTATATCGAAGCGAAGCAAGTAATGAAGGAGAGTCGTGTAATGTTTTGTGTCTCCTTCTGTTCTTTATTTCCCTATTCTTCATAATGGTAATGACATCCGATAGTAGCCCAGTACCGAATGTCAACTATGACAATACCAATCCAAACCTTGGGACGCAAGCAGATGGGAACTTACTTAGTGGAGAGGCTTCTGATAGGATACCCACAGACGACATGTTCGACAATGTACTCATCCAGAGCTTGAATTTCAAAGGCCATTACAGGGTTGCATCCAGAGAAGCAGCACATACAGGGGTACCGACAGAAGCAACAGGTGCAGTATGGGAGACGAGTGGTGTTACTATCAACGACAATTCGTCCACTTCTCCCACTTCTTCTACTTCCACGTCTTCCACGTCTTCCACTACTTCCCCCTCTTCCACTTCTTCCACTTCTTCCACTTCTTCCACTTCTTCCACTTCTTCCACTTCTTCCACTTCTCCCACATCTCCCACTTCTCCCACTTCTTCCACTTCTTCCACTTCTCCCACTTCTCCCACTTCTCCCACTTCTTCCACTTCTTCCACTTCTCCCACTTCTTCCACTTCTTCCACTTCTCCCACTTCTTCCACTTCTTCCACTTCTTCCACTTCTCCCACCACGAGCTACAAGCTGGGGAAGCCAAATCGGGCCTGTATAAACGATGGGGAAATTGCGAATGAAGGAGAATTCGAAGCAAAGTTAATTACCCTTAAGCTATCGTTATACAATTTGACAAAGACATTTCTCTTTTTATACTTCGATCCGCATGTTAGATGCAGTGACTTACGTGATCCTGAATGTACCAGGAGTACATCTGAGATGGGCACGAACCCAAATAATGCATACACAATGGGAAGAAGCACCCCGCTGAGCAAATTTCAATTCGTGGGAGTTACTGGGGTGAATATAAACAAAGAGATGAGTTACATGTTCAATGGAACTGGTTATAACATCCTCACACAGTGTCAAAATAATGTAAGCTGCATATGTAATTACAATATTGGAATTCGACAAAATGTTTCTCTACATGAATCCACTTCCCTACGGGAGGTAGAAGAGTCTTACTTATATTCATTAAAACGATACATTATGGATGAAGCGCAACATTTTAACAAACACATTTCGGTTAAATATTATGATCAGTATTACAAATACCTTAGTTCGATCAATCACATGGATGATGGGGCTGGCACATTTCATGGTGAAAGGGAGGAGGGAAGGGGAGAAAATTTCCACAATATTTTAAACAAAGGAAATAGATCCGAAGAAGAAATGAAATTAGAAAGGTCCCTTCCAGAGGAGAAGCAACATGTGGAAGAAAATAAAACAAATCGGACAGCAATGTATGATACTATGTCAGAGGAAAAAGAACGGAAAGGAAATCCAGATTATGAAGGATACATTTCATCAAACAGCTGTAATATGTTTATTTGGCTAGAAGGAATGGATATTAATAAGAAATACAATTCAACAAAAGTAATGAATTTTACCTTTATATATAACATAAAATCGATGATAGAGTTAGGTTTGTTTTATTCACAAATTGGATATAGCAATGAGAACATGAGAAATGCAGGGAAAATATCTCTCATGTCGATATGTTTAAATTCATTCATTGAACTTTTTGAATCCCTTCTTCTTTTATATGAAGTAATGTTATCAAGATTGCTACTAACTCATTTTATATTCATGATACTGTTGAAATTCTTATTGTTTACATTAATGGAACTTCGGTACATTTTAATAATATGGAAAGCCAATCATCAACAAGATGTAAATGAAGGATGGGAACGGACACAAAGAAAGTTAAGTACATTATACAAGTGCTATTACGGGTGTATACTACTAGTTATAATAAGCTTTTATTATATTTTTCCCTTCTTTCCATATATATTACTAATTATTTACATGTGTTGGGTTCCTCAGATTTTATTAGATATATGGAAAGGACAAAGGAATTCAATCAATTTGAAATTTGTTTTTTTATTATCTATATGTCGAATATTTTTACCAGTTTATATCTTCCTCTATCCCTATAGCATTTTCCAGTTAGATGTTTTTGTTCAATCATTGGATGATACACCCAGCTCTACATTCAGTATACTTCTCATTCTTATCTTAATTATCCAATTATTTTTAATGGTATTGCAAAGAAAATATGGACCCAGGTATTTTATTAACATTGACCTTTTACCACATGTGCATAATTATTACAAAACTATTGATCATACTTTCGAGACAGAAAGTCCTGAATGTGTTATTTGTATGTACGACATTGTTTTGAATCAAAAAAATTATTGCCTCACTCCCTGTTTTCACATATTTCACGAGAAATGCTTGCAACAGTGGATGGACGTCAAGCTTGAGTGCCCTACGTGTCGGGGTACCCTTCCTAATTTCCCCTAACCAGATTGTGATAATTGGGGAAGAGCCTACAGAGGAGGCACATATTTGCCTGAACAGTTTCGCCAACTCGGCCACTATTTGCCTGAACAGTTTCGCCAACTCGGCCACTATTTGCCTGAACAGTTTTGCCAACTCGGCCGGTATTTGCCTGAACAGTTTCGCCAACTCGGCCACTATTTGCCTGAACAGTTTCGCCAACTCGGCCACTATTTGCCTGAACAGTTTTGCCAACTGGGCCGGTATTTGCCTGAACAGTTTCGCCAGCTCAGCGCGTATTTTTTGTTTTCCCCTTATTTTGCGTCTTTTTCCCTTTACTCAGTTTTCCTCTCTTTTTTTTTTTTTTTTTTTTTTTTTTTAGTTGTTCATTTCCCTGTTTTTCTTTATTTTTTTACTGTGTTCCTCCATTTTTTTTTTTTTTTTAAAGTGTATTTTGCCTAAGCAAAACGCACATTCTTATCAAGTGAAAATAAAATAAAAAAAAAAATCTTGTGACATTTATGAACAAAGTAGAGGGGTCACGATAGGGGGAGGGACAACCTTTGGGTAGTTAATTGTTTAATTGTCTTCCTCCCAGCATAGCTAACTGTGTACGCGCAGAGATTCGAACAGCCAACGAACGTCATTATGGTAGAGGCACAGAATCGTGGATTTTAAGCGACTATTGAGAAAGCAGTAAGAGAGAAAAAAGGAGATGCTTTTGCTATGCCCAGATTTGTTAGATGATGTATTCACAAGGTGAGCTGCATGTGGAATAATTCTTTCAATTTCTTTGAATATGAAATCAGTTTTTCCATTAATAGTACTTTCCGTTAGAGAAATATTTTTCAGGATTTGTGTGAAAAATGTCGCAATATTACTTATAATGATAGATATGGATTCATCTTGTTCAATATTCTTTTCTTTGCTTAAGAAGATAGTACTTAGTCTGTTGGTTAGTCTTTCCAATGCATTAAATTCCTCTCTCGTGCAGTTACACTTGACATCTCCAACGTGAAAACAAGTCTCGACCGTATCCTTCTCCTCATATAGGAGCTGCAACAGGAAGTTGGTATACTTTGACAAATTAGAAACAAGATTTATACATGCACTAGTTATGGACGTTTCGCGTGGCACACTGTTCAGATGGTACAAGATAGACCTTTTAAGCAATTCGAAGGAGTGTCTATCTAGTTGCACAAGTTTGTCGTTTTCTTTTTCTATTTTCCGTCTGAGCGAGTGGGCGAGGTCGCCACTTCCTTGGCAAGTAACGCGGTTTCCTTCGCTAGTCATGTCGCTTCCTTGGCTAGTCATGTCGCTTTCTTGGCTAGTCATACCACTTCCTTGGCTAGTCACTCCGATTCCTTGGCTAGTCACGCCGATTCCATGGTTAACCACGCGGCTTGAATTTGCAAAGTGCACCACGTCACAGTAGGCATACATATAGACACGGCTGAGGAACAAGTAAGAAAGTTCAGCGACGCGAGGAATATTTGATCTGGTTAAGTGGATGATTCTGCGGATGCTGGTTTGAGTAATTACAGTTATGTTGGGAGTGGCAACATCGGTTGTATTTCTCTTCTTGACAGCTCTGTTTCCTGTATGGTATTCTTCTCCCCATGAAGTGGTTAAATTAAAGAGGAGAGATAACATGTTCTGAAATAAGTACTCTTTGTCGGCATGTTCCAAAAAATGTAAGAGATGATTCCAGCTGATCATCATTAAGATGGATCTAATTTGGGCATTCGCCACTAGATTAACCAGAAGGGACAAATAGTTGCAATTCATTTCATTATAGTCGTACAGTTTTTCGTTAATATAAATGATTATATTTAGCACGTATATCATGAACTTTTTTTCTACAACATCTAATACATGTTTTGTCAATGTCAGATGCGATATGATTCCAAACAAATTCGCTAGTTCAAATTTATGTTCATACAACTTGGCTGTTTTTTTTTGCAGCATTTTCCACGGATCTAAGTTGCGTGATATTCCTTTTTTCTGATTATCACTCTCCCTTGTAGTTTCCATAACACGCCCATTCTTCTCTCTTTTTATTATCTCATTTGAATTCCCCCTCCTACTTATCCTCCCACCGTTTGTTGAAAGCTCTTTGTCCAGGGTTGACATCTGTAGTCCTAGGACATCTTTCAATTCCTTTTCAAATCTGATACCACATTCCGACTTTAACACACAGTCAGTTAAATATGTGAAACGAGAATATTTCTCTTTAGTGTAGAGATTTCTATCCTCTGCTATGAGATGACTAATTTGCATGAAGAATATTTTCAAAAGAAAATGATTTTCTGTGAGAGCATGTTTACATAAGGATTTTCTTCCATCCACATTTTTTCCAATACTATTTAAGAAATATACACACTTCATTTTGTTAATCTGGTTTAATTGGTACAATGTAATCACTGGTTTTATTGCATTCATGCAAAAATCTGCATATTCTGGATCCTCCTCTAGAACCAATGTCATCAAATCAGTAAGAATGTTGCTACAACGGGACATGTACTTTGGTAGTTTCAAATCATCTAATTTTTGAGGATCCTCTAATGAGATGTTTTCTTTACTCAATTTTTTCTTAACATAGAAAAGTATGTCTTGAAGTTTATCTGCACAAAACGACAGAAATGTGGTTCTTTTTCCGTTCCCTTTGGTTACATCTACGGAGCTGTTCTTATTACACTGGGTTGTGTATACACTGTTGCAGAATATCAATTTTTCCTTTTCGTTTCTGCTGACAAGACTTTTTACTCTCTTTAGATATTCCCAACATTTTTTTTCGTCTTTTTCTATGTCCATTTTGTCTAGCTCACCTAGTATCCGTCTAAGATCTGTTCCTTGTGGTTCCTCTTTAACATTTTCACTGAGCAATTGTGCATGGAGCGATTTTGCACTAGCGGCATTTTTTGTACCTCCCTTCTCCATGTTTTGCATCTGGTGGCATTTGTGAACATAGGATAAGGCTTCCTCATTATTTGGTTCTAGTGAAAGGGCCGAGTTGAAACTGGAAGAAGATTCTTCAAATCTGAATAACTTAAAAAGTGCAAAACCCTTTCTGAGATAACTTTTAAATAAAGTGTCGTTTTTCATTTGATGAAAATCATTTTTAAAAATTTCATAGTAATGAATAACTCTGTCGCAACTGTTAATGGCATCTTCATATCTATACGTTTTAATGTAACACAAAGCTAAGTTGTTGTAAATTTCTAAATAATCTTTGCACACTTGTAGTGCCTCTTCATAACACTCAATGGCATGATGGTACTTCATTTCTTTGAAATATTTATTTCCTCTGGTCTTAATCGAATAAGCAATTTTTCTGTTTTCACTCTTTTTCTTAATATCACTTTCTATCTTTTTTTCTAGAACCTGAAAGTCTTTATTATTTTTTGGCACACAGATCATTCTTTCATCTTCATCGAAGGAATCGCTGCTGGGTTCGTAATAATTCCACTTTTCATAGCTTGTCACCCTCTGCACCTTTTTGCCACTTCCGCTCCTGCAACTTCCGCTCCTGCCACTTCCACTCCTGCCACTTCCTTTCTTGCCACTTCCGCTCCTGCCACTTCCACTCCTGCCACTTCCTTTCTTGCCACTTCCGCTCCTGCCACTTCCACTCTTGCCACTTCCACTCTTGCCACTTCCACTCCTCCCAGACATTGTTCCATTTTTTAAATAATTTTTCCACAAACTTCTCCTCAGATCTCTCTCTTTTTTCTTTTTTTTGTATTCCTCAACTTTTTCTCGTAGCTGCTGCACTCGCTGTTCCTTACTGATAACTGTGCTGCCACATCTAGTACATTTCTCCAGAACATACTTAAACTCAACTAAACAATGTAGACAGAAGAATTCGTAATTATTATTGCTCACTCCGCTGCCTCTTACTCCCATTAAATACTCTCTTCTTTCGCATTCCCTTTTTTCTTCTTCTCTCATTTGTCTTATTTTTTCTCCTAGTTGTAATTTATTTTGTTCTCTTTCTATTTCCTCTATGCTTATTTTACCACTCAGCAGCCCGTTCACTTTTTCTGTCACGTCATTTACTTTTTCAAGAAATTCATCAATGTCTTCATCCTTTGGCAAGTTGCACCAGTTTCTCCCAGCGACGCTCCCCATCTTGGTGCTAGATGTGGCGCTAGAGCTGTGCTAGAGCTGGTGGTGGAAAAATGTGCACTGTGTTGTTCATCCTGCTAATGCACAAGATCTGTGCAAAACTAAACCTAAGTTTTCTTATCAGCAAAAGTGAGGAAACTTGAAAAAAAACAAATATGGTTACCCTGTACGGGTACATATGGCGCATGTTCTCCTGAGTGCACTTGGCAGAAGTGAAAATTGCCTTACACGGGTGGGTTGTCAGTGTCGAGAAAAAAAAAAAAAAAAATCAAATAAGCAGGAACGAGCAAAATGAACGAAAACAAACGTAATGATACGTATGGCATAATAAACAGAAAAAGTGATACAAAAAAGCAGTGATACACAAACGCACTGGTACGTGAGGAGGGGAGGGGAAAATTGCGCATTCGCCTGTGACACTAGTTTTCACGTGTTCCTCATTTCATTCATCCTGATTTGCGGCTTTTTTTTTTTTTTTTTTTTTCCCCCTCATTTCTTTCATTTCTGCGCTTGCACATCTCCAGAGGAAATTTCGCCCAGTGAAAAGAAGTTAGCGAAAAGATCAACTGATGAATTGATGAAGAGGCAAAAATTGAGGAAGCTGTCAGAGGTTGATCAAGCTAACCACAGCTCCAAGTTAAAAAATCTCACCAAACGCGAGAGCCAAAAAAAAAAAAAAAAAAAAAAAAAAAAAGATTTACATGTGTATATGTACATAAATGTAGAGATAGATAGGTAGGAAAAACGAGGAAAAACACCTTTTTTCCCCTATTTTTCCCTTATTTTTCTCCAATTTTTTCCCCCAATTTTTTCCCCCAATTTTTTCCCCCAATTTTTTCCTCCAATTTTTTTCTCCAATTATTTCCTCCAATTTTTTTGCTCCTTTTGGAGGAACCGCACACACGAGAACTAGCCAGAGAAACATAAAATGTCGAAGGGGCTAGCAGAAGGAATCACACTGTTCAAGAAGCTGCTATGCAGCTATCATAACTTGAATGAGAGTGAACTAGAGGGATCTCTAACTAATGGAGACATTCAGACTCTTTTCCAAATAAGTGCAGACATGAGTGAACCAATCGAATGCAACATTGAAAAGTGTAAAGAGATTCTTACAAGATTGAAACTTGTACTTATCCACCTACCATCAGCTGATCCCCTTGTGCCAATTGCAAAAAAAGATATTAATGAATTATTATTGGCAAGAGAAATTTTAGAAAAAGGAGTTATCATTTCAATAATGGACAAAGACATAAAAGCATTTACAATTTATATAGCACAGTTATTTTTATATTATTTCGATTTCCAAACAATTATTCCAAAAAGTAATAAACAAAATGGAATCCTAGGTGTATATCTACTGTACTTATTATCATCTAATCTAATTGGAGATTTCCATATGACTTTAGAAATTATATCTATAGAAGACCAAAATCATGATTATATAAAATATGTTTTAGAATTAGAGCAGCATATTATGGATGGCTATTTTTATGATGTTCTTACAAAGAAGGATGATATTCCATTGTATCTCTATTCATTATTTATGGAGAGATTGTACAATACAATTCGATTTAAACTAGCTGATTGTATTTTTGCATCTTCCAACTGTATTTCTTCCATTCATGCATGTCAGTTATTGAAGTTTGTTGATGAAAATGATTTGTATCAATTCATTCGAGAGTATAATGAAACCAAAACTAGTCAGGGCGAAAGTAACCTTATCTGGGAAGTGAGAAATCAAAAAATATTTTTCAATAATCAAACCGTTTCTGTGCACGAATTACCTTCTCTTGAAATTTTGAAAAATACTATTGGATATGCCACAGAATTGGAGAGAATAGTGTGATCACACATTTGCTTCGACGTGGTAAATTCGTCATTCAGTTGCACCAAGGGAGGTGTTCTGCACAGATGTAGAGAAGCTTTTTCTGAACAGATGTAGTGAAGCTTGTTTTGTTTCCCCCTTTCCCTTTTTTTTTTTTTTTTTTCTCCCTTCCTACCAGTTTTATATCTACCAATTTACGAATTTTTTTTTTTTTCATTTTCCCTTTCTGAACGAACGTAATGTAGACAAGCAGTCACCATGTTGACGTGGCGACAAAAAAAAAAAAAAGACGCTATTTTAACTGTAGTTTTTTTTTTTTTTTAAATCTCGTTTTTACTGAGTCGTGTCAGGTTGAAGGTTGTGCATATATGTATGTCTATATGTATGTATATATATATATATATATGTGCTTCTGTTGGCACGGAAGTAAATGTGTCATTGTCTTAGTGTGCGATACTTCTTGAACAAGAAGATTATGACAAAAATAGTTTGACAAGGAACTACCATCTCTCACGGGAGAATGGAATGGTGCGCAACTTAAAGGTATCACAGCTAGTAATTCCTAATGAGTAAAAATTGCACGCTCAACAACCATTCCCTTTTAGTCTATTTTCTCCACCCATCTGCCCACCCCCTTTTGATTTCTGAAGTATATACACATATGTATATATATATATATATATATGTACATACGAATGGGCACCTGTACATATTAACTTAAACTAAGATCAAGTGGGTGTGACAATCGCTATATTATTTGACACTTCTTCTCACGCCCGATGTCGCTCTCATTTTCAAAATAAGAATGATTCAATGGATATTCATCGTCCATTTTGTTGCTTTTTCTTTGTTGCTTCTTCTTTGTTGTGTTTTTTTTTTTTTTTTTGTTTTTTACTTTCCTCATGGACAGCTGCAGTTGGACTGATCCAAAATAAAAAACAAAAAAAAAAAAAAAAAAAAAAAACACGCAAATTTTTGCATACAATATCTCAACGTTTGTGACAACTCCACTTTTTTTTGTTTTTGTTTTTGTTTTTTTCCTCAAGAAAGAGACGCAGAAATGAATGGAGGAGAAGAGAAATGTAAAATGAGATCGTACATGCCTGCGAATACACGCACCTATATGTGTGTGTGGTATATATGAAACACACAAGAACACATATATACATATTATATATTCATATTATATATTCATATTATATATGCATATACGTACTATGCATGTATGTGAAACCTGCATAGGGTGTAGCATTTTCAAAATGGAAAATGCACCCCAAAAAAAAAAAAAAAAAAAAAAAAAATGAAAGAACGAAAGAAAGAAAAAAAGAAAGAAAAAAAGAACGAAGGAACAACGAAAGATGGCGCGAACGAACGTCCATCTTTAAATAACGAATTTACTGGTACATGTTTGTAAACTAGTGGATACATTGCATTTGATATAAATTGCATGATTACATTGTTCTTAATGTGCAATTTGTAATTCCTTAAAAAGAGGGAAAACACAACCACACGAAATTTTAACCGAAATAGACGACAGCTAGCTATTCGGTGATGTGGTCAATAATATGAACAAACGAGTGAACAAAAAAAAAAAAAAAAAAAAAAAAACAGGTTATCCACGCTTGCGAAGGGGTGTATATATTCGTATATGCGTGTGTGTTTGTCCTAGTATAACCATTTAAATTTTCCTTAATCGAACTTGAGACGTGATGATTGCTTGTGTTTGTCCGCTTGATCTCGCACTTGATCTCCCACTTGATCAGCCACTTGCTTGCCCGTGTGCGTGCACTGGTGGAGAACACTCAGGCGTTGTCCCCTGCATAAGGTCACGCGAGAAACTATACATGTGTGTACAATATTTCCATATAAATATGTATGGTTCATATGTACACATATGTCTGCACAAGGGCCAACCCCACCCCACCACCTCTCCATTGGAAGCGGTAAGAGTAGTGATGCATGGAAATACAATAAATTTTAATGATATATTCTTTTTGTTCTTTCAGTTTTATTTTATCTTTTCTTCATTATTCATATCCAACAATTTTTTATTAACTGATAGATTTATGCAAGTGGAATTTTTCCGATGTACAGATAAATGAAAATTTCTTTCTTTATTTATTTGTTTGTTTGCCTGTTTGTTTGCCTGTTTGTTTGCCTGTTTGTTTGCCTGTTTGTTTGATTGATTATTTATTCATTTATTCTTTGGGTGTAGGAGGATCTGGAAATGTTTTTCCATTTTAATAGCCTTATATTGTCTCACTTCTTCCGGATGCGTGTTTCTTTAACTCGTTTTGACAGATGAATTAAAAATCGATGAGTGATTTTCAAAAAAAAAAAAAAAAAAAAAAAGAGACATTCTGAGAGTAAAACCTTGAATGTTCGTTATGCGAGGTTTACTGCTCGACTGACGTTGTTGTCCAGATTGGTTTCATTACATTCATTTAATATATTATCTGCGATATTTTCATTGTCACATGGATTATTTAATATATAATCTTTGTATTTTTCGTAGGTATCTTTGGGTAACAATTTTCTTTTACATGAGTCAGACATCTCTTTAATTTCTTCATCCGAAAAGTTGAATAGTTCTGGAAGTTTTTCCAGAAATTTTGGAAGTCTTCAGAACAGGGAGAAATGGAAGAGATGAATGGGTGAGATGAATGAACAATGTGGGCGTATGCATGCGTACATGCAAAATTGCATGAGGGGAGGAGGAAAGCCAACACGTGTTACATATATATACATATATTCACATACACATATATATATATATATATATATATATTACAGTTCAAACGAATGGCATGCTTTGCTTTTTCATGTAGACATGTATGTTGTGAATGTTACTTAATGCAAGGGTCTCGCAGTTCATCAAAAAAGGGATCCGCTAGTGCCTTCACATGGAAAACAAGGTCGAGGGGTTCATGTGTTTCGATGCAATTGTGTAGTTATCTTGTTATTCATGTAGGTGTATGTATATATATATATAAACCAAGTCACGTATGCATAATGCACAAGCTTTCATCTGAGGATGGGGGAGTGTTAAAGACGTCCAAATGTCCCGAGGAAAGACTCTTCCTTCCATATTCAGCCCTCCTCTCTCTCTCTCCTTTCACTTCTGTAACACCGCTCGGTTGGAAAGTGGTCATTATATATATTATCTTTTTCTATACTTCAATTGCATTGAGCCGTTTTAGGGGTTCATATTTCAAAAAATGGGATACAAAATTTATGGCATCTTCTGATGTACCCTTCGGAAAAATCTGGGAAGGAAAATATGAAGAATGGAAAAAAAAAAAAAAACATTTGATCTAGAAAGTAAATATAATTAAAAGTATGGATTTCTTCAAATGAAAATCTTGTAAAAAAGGATAAGAAAAGGAAAGAGCCACAATATAGGCCCCGTTGAAATTGAATTAAAACAGATATATATCTATCATAACATTTTCTTTATTGCATATAGCTACCTTTCTCAAGTCCTTCGCCTTTACGTCAGGGAATTTTATGTCAGCATAGTTTGGGTTCATTACTTTCATTTGTTCTTCGGTGGGAGTGCCTTTTTTGTAGGAGGGTAGAGATGGGAGAAATGAACAAGTTAGTGGTACCGATTGTCCTACACGCATGTTCTATCTTATGCGTGTGTTCCATACTATGTGCATGTGCTTAGCGCTCACACACAATCGAACGAACACTGCACATATGCACAATCGAACGAGCACTGCACATATGCACCCTTTTTGTGTTAAAAAGAGGAAAGAATTTCCTGACTCTCTGTTCCATCAGTTTTTCTCACCTAGTACTTGAATTATTCTAACTAGCTGGTCAACACTAGATTGACCTGAAAAGAGCGGATACCCCAAAATCATTTCAGAGATTATGCACCCTGCATTTTAGAAAAAATGGGAGGAGCAGCATAAATGGGAGGAGCAGCATAAATGGGAGTAGAAAGAATGGGGAAAAGTTTCTTATATCCAACAGTTGATCTCATAACAGAATTACGAAGGGGAAAAAGTTACCTAAGGACCATAAGTCAATATGTGTTGTATAGCTAGTCGAACCCAGCATCAACTCTGGTGCCCTGTAAAATCTTGAACAGATGTAAGAAACGCTTCTTTGTCCAGCTAATAGATTTTTGGCACTTCCAAAATCACACAATTTTAAAGTATGTGTCTTGGGTTCAACTAATAAATTTTGTGGTTTCAAATCCCTATGGCATATCAATTTCGAATGAAGATAACCTAAAGCCCTACATAGCTGATATGCATACAACTTCACTAAAAGGAGAGGTAGAGAATGATTATTTCTTGCGTAATATTTCATATACTTATGCACCGTTTGTGGAATATATTCCATAACTACATTTAAGAACACATTTTTTTCATTTTTCTTTACACATTCTGTGTAGTAATAATCTTTTAAATATATTATATTAACATGACTTAGATTTTTCATTATGATTAATTCTCTATTTTTATATTGTGGATCTTGCAAAACTTTTTTTATAGCTACTTTTTCTGACGTGTCTAAACACATAGCTTCATAAACCACCCCAAAACTACCATTTCCTATCATATTTCCTAATTTATACGATTTGTTTGAAGATCTGTTAATTTCGTTCTCAATTATTATCACCTTTTCATCGTTATCCATATTATCGATACCTTCATTTCTGTTTATTTCATTTTCACTTTTTCTATTTGTTACATGATTGTTGTCCTTCAATGGTTCTACTCTATGCATTGGCTCGTTTCTGACCACGGATTCACTGCAGTTTTTTTCATTTTCTAGATGTGCACTCTTTTGGTCATCTGCAAAGTGGAAGGATAGAACGAAAGATGAAGTAGTACAAAATAAATTCAGCAGAAACTTTTTTTTTAAAAAAAAAAAAAAAAAAAAAAAAAAAAAAAAAAGGTAAAGTTCAAGTCGCCTCGTTGGGAACAATCCCTCACAAATGTGTTCAAATTGATGTCTCTCCATATTCTCAATCGGATGTGAGACTACTAAATTATTTTTCACTATCTTTCTTGCTCATCGAATATACACAAAATAACAGTCACGATAAATGCAAAAAAAAAAAAAAAAAAAAAAAAAAAATGTGGCATGAAATGTGAAATATCTTTGGAAGAATTAATCTGTGAACATTTTTAACTCATGTTTAACATCATTTGTGATTTTCTATTATTTTTGAGTTTTATATCACTTTTCACTATTTTTGATATCTGTTTTTACATTTTTTACTTTTTTTTTTTTTTTTTTTTTTTTTTGCATACCAGTATGCCAATCTTTCATATTCCTTATGAATTCGTTTGTTAATATGTCTATAAATTGGAATAAGTTGTGAAGACAACATATGAATAATTCAGCGCTTGGGTGGAATCAACTTGGAACACTGAATGATAGATCATGGATACCATTTTCACATTTAGGCGTGAATATGCAAATGTGTATTATTACTTAAAAATGTCGTGGTTTGTTCATAAAATTGGTAATGGTGTGTGCGATTTATATATGCATTGGCATACAGACTGTGCTTATGTGCGTGTGCTTATGTGAGTGCATGTGTATGTGCATACCTACGTATGTATATGCCTATGTATGTGTATGCCTATGTATGTGTTTGCCTATGTATGTGTTTGCCTATGTATGTGCGTATATGTGTGTACCACAATCATCGCTCTTAATCCCACATTTTTTACTTCTCCAATTTAGCTAACTAAAGTACCACGTACAAAATATTCATCACCAAACATGTAATTTTTTACGGATGTGTCATGACAGCATCTGTGCTCGAGCATGTGTATGCACGTAGGTATGTATGCATGTGTGTGTGCTTAAATGTGCATATTCGTGTGTGTATACTTACACGTGCACATGCGTGTGTGTGTATACTTATATGTGCACATGTGTGTGCATACACTTATATGTTCACATATACGTGTGTGTTCATACGTTAAGGCGCGCAAAAAGTGGGAAGGTCGTGGGAAGAAATAAATAAATTCAAAAAAAAATAAAATGAATTGGAAGAAATTGTTAAAAAACAAATGTGCGCACACAATTACACATATAAAAATGGGGATAATATAAAAGTTGTTCATGTATTTGTTCGTTCATTAAAAATGTTCAAAAAATAATGTGAATTTTCTTTTTTTTTTTTTCTTTTTTTTGTGAAACATACCAAGTGTTAACAAAAAAAAAAAAAAAAAAAAAAAAAAAAAAAAAAAAAACGCGATTTGGAGATGTGCGTATGTTAAGCTACGCTCCGAATTTCGCACATTTGTGCCGACATGTTGATCAGTGAATTGGTGGTAAAGTAGTATGTCAAGCTTTTGTGAAAACTTTTTATGACATCCTTTTTTTATGACATCCTTTTTTTATGGCATCCTTTTTTTATGACATACTCTTTTTATGACATACTTTTTTTATGACATGCTTTTATGACATGTTTTTGTGGAAATTCTTCGTGGCAAATTTTTGTGGAAAATTTTTATGGCAAACGTGTGTAACAAACATTTCTGATAATTTTTCTGCTAACCTTTATGGTAGCTTTTATGATAATTTTTCTGCTAACCTTTATGGTAGCTTTTATGATAATTATTCTGTTAACCTTTATGGTAGCTTTTATGATAATTATTCTGTAACCCTTATGGTGGCTTTTCAGGTAATTTGTTTGTTAGTCCTTATGATATCTTTTCTGATAACTTTCCCAAGAATTGAGCACGTAAATTGTGCATTTGATTGTGTAAGCAATATCAGTAGGTGCGTATGGACTTGAGAAGGGGGCGTGGATACAATCACAAATGTGCTTGCCACCTTTTTCAGCACATGAACTTTTTTATTTAATTTTGTTATTTTTTATTTAATTTTGTTATTTTTTATTTAATTTTGTTATTTTTTATTTAATTTTGTTATTTTTTATTTAATTTTGTTATTTTTTATTTAATTTTGTTATTTTTTATTTAATTTTGTTATTTTTTATTTAATTTTGTTATTTTTTATTTAATTTTCTTATTTTTTATTTTATTTTCTTATTTTTTATTTTATTTTCTTATTTTTTATTTTATTTTTTTTTATTTTATTTTTTTTTGCGTAATTCACAAATACACATTACGGGAGGAAAAAAAAAAAATGCTCTTTGTAACCCAAGTGGGCAAAAAAACCTCCAGGTGATACTCGGTCAGTGCTTCAAAGTGAAGGAACTCATCCACTCATGGATTTCATGTTTCCAACATTTGCATCGTTTACAAATATTCTCACATGCACTCTCCCCCACACCCCACCCCTTTTTTTTTCTTATGCATAAGCAGCTTGTCACATTTATGAAAGAGGCATGTATTTACACATACACATATGTACACATATATATTGCATAAATACTATACTCTTTTTTTTTTTTTTTTTTTTAATTATTTTGCCTCATTGTGGAGCGTTGAAACTGTGAATTTAAACTGTGAACAGATATGCACTTATGTAACCTTAGAGAAGTTAAATTCATGCCGTTGTTATATACTCTCGAATAAGGAATGCATAAAATAAGGGGGAGAAAATAGTAACTGTGCATGTAAAGTTTAATTAAAAAATAAAATAAAATATATTAAAAAAAATTAATAAATTAAAAAAATAAAAATAATTAAAAAAATAATTAAAAAAATAATTAAAAAAATAATTAAAAAAATAATTAAAAAAAATGAGGATGGTCTGCTTGTGTATGTCAGCACCAATGTGTGTGAACCATTAAATATATGTGAACAGATATGTGCAAATTATGCATGCACACATAGAGGTGCACACACTAGCAATGAATTCATGTACATGTTTTCTTTTGTTCGTGTTTGTGCTTAAGCTTGGCAAAAATAGATCGGTGGTAAACTGTAAAGATGTTTTCATGGTTCTCTGTGTGTGTAACACTGGAACTGCTGGAGAGAGACGTGGGAGGAACTTATTCAATTGGTATCCCACTCAATAGGCACCCTATTCATTTAGCACCCCTTTTTGTTACAGAAATTAGGCCAAGTTGGAATTTATTTTTTTTATAAAATGTCTCTCTTTCACTTCACAGTTCAGGGTTATCAAAATTTCTAGCACAATAAAATATACATATGCATAAGAACAGGAAAATTGTGCGTGCAAGCACGCGGTAATTTTATACATATATTTATAAGCACATGCGTTTTTTTTTTTTTTTTTTTTTTATGATCATGTTCATACTGTTGATAAAAAATCACACTCGCGTAATTCATAGAATTGTGTTGCCCATTTGTGTAAAAATGGGTAAGGAGTTTTTTGCTACTCGTGCGTATGTACAACTCAGGATGGGAGGATTATCCTTGGTAGGTTTTTTCTCCCTCTTTCTTTTTAATTTACCATCAAATTTATTTCCCCAAAAAAATAAAAAAGAGGATAACATACCAAAAAGTGTCCCTAAAAAAGTGTCCCTAAAAATGTCGCTAAAGGTACCGCTTAAAATGCACGACATCGCGGGGAATAGGATACAACATGGAGGTAACTCTCGAACGAGCATATGAGGAGCTTTGTGCACCTCGGGGGTAAATATGGTTTTTACGTATTTTTTACTACAACCTCATAGTGGGATAAAGTCAAAAAAAAAAAAAAAAAAGTAGTGATTGAGATCATGTACATTAATGTATGAGTGTACAGAACGGTTAAGTGCTGTCATGTGTCATACCAAAAAGTGCATGTAAAATTGTGCACAAATTTAAGAACAAATTGTAAACTAAAATTGACATAACAATGAATAGAAAACTATGGAGCGACGTGGTTATCCTCTATATTATATATGTTTTCGCATTTTTTTTTTTTTTTTTTTTTTTTTTGCGCCATATCTCTTGGAGAGTTTGAACAATGTTTCATTTGGCCCTAAACAATTGCCTGATCTCCACTCCAATAAAGTACGAGCAGATTATTACTGTACCAAGGGAAATTACTCACAATCGGTGATTTACAGGTATGAAACTACAAAAAAGGAGAAGATATAAAAAAAAAAAAAAAAAAAAAAAACTCCAAATTAAAAGCTTCACAAAATAAAGTCAAATAGAATGTTTAGGAAAAAAATGGCCAAATGAAAAAAGTATCAACAAAAGCACTTGCACAGAACACTACAAGAGGCAAAAGTACCATCTCTCCCTCTACCTCCTCACATATACTGTGTAAAGCAAAACTGCATATGATGAAGAACGTTAACTTATGAATATACAATACTCCCTCTGTCACACAACAAAATTAATGATCAATAAATAAGAGAAAAAAAGAAGAGAAAAAAAAGGAGAAAAAGAAAAAGGAGAGAAAAAAAAGGAGAAAAAAAAAAGGGAGAGAGAAAAAAAAAAGAAGAGAAAAAAAGAAGAGAAAAAAAAGGAGAAAAAAAAAAAGGAGAAATCCCCAAAATGGGGATAATTACAGGAAAAATAAAAATTCTTCTCTTTATGTACAGCATAGCAACAACGGCAATTGTTTACCAGAACTACATTTTTATTGCAAATTTGTTTAAAAATTTCAGAGCATATGAATGGCTATGTAAAGGTGAAAATGAACGGACAGGAGGAGAATTTTTTGTGTGTAAAGAGCAGGAAAATTATATTCAGTTTTTGTTGATCTCGGGCTTAATCATACAGTTTATTTCAGGTTCTATTGGAAGCATACTAATTAATATATTTTCAAAAAAGAAGCACATATCTCGCATAGCCTTTTCCTTTCTGTTTACCGGTTGGATAATGTTGGCCTTCTCGCTGTTGTATTCAAAGCGTCTGATGGTGGAGTACACCATTCAGAGGGACTCGAATGGTATGAAATATAGAGAAGGAGAATTGAATAATGAGTCTTTCGAAACTATTTCACTTTTTTTCAACTTGGCTTTCGTTTGCTTTGGCTTAGGGTCTGATAACTCCTATCTCCCCATCATATACTATGTTAATGAAAAGTATCCAGTAAAAAGTATGCATATATCAAATGAAATTTTTCAGGAAAAAAAAAACAAATGGATCACTTTGAAAAATATACTAAAAAACAAAAACTACATTCTCATAAGTACAATGTCTTCTCTTGCTGTCTTGAGTTTATTTGTGGGTAATTTATTACTCAGTCTGATGAATATATATGAAAGTGAAAACAACATTATCATAATTGTGGGATTCTACATTTTGGTCTGCATCGTTCCATCGTTTTTCATCTCTAGTTTTCTGGACACCAATGGAAATGCAGAAAAAATGAGAGACAGCCATATTTCGCTATTCAAAAGTGAAAGAGAAGAACTAGCTAATAACCATGTCGTACTCAGGCAGCAGATGAAAGAGGTGAAAGAGGTGAAAGAGGTGAAAGAGGTGAAAGAGGTGAAAGAGGTGAAAGAGGTGAAAGAAGCGAACGAGGGGAAAGAAGCGAACGAGGGGAAAGAAGCGAACGAGGGGAAAGAAGCGAACGAGGGGAAAGAAGCGAACGAGGGGAAAGAAGCGAACGAGGGGAAAGAAGCGAACGAGGGGAAAGAAGCGAACGAGGGGAAAGAAGCGAACGAGGGGAAAGAAATATCTAAGAAGAGTAATCGATCATCTGACATCACTTCACTATCTTTGGCAGTACCCCCAATTCATGCAAATTCCAAAGGGGTGAAACAAAATTTGCTACTGAGGAATATCCACATTGACACATTGAAGAAGCAAATAAAATCCCCATTTTATATATTCATAGTAATTGAATTTTTCATAATAACATTTAGTATTTGCTATTTTATGTTTTCTCTATTCGACATATATGAAAATAGTATATTTGGTGAAACATTAAATGTATACTCGCTCATTTTGCCATTAAGTTTTATCTTGACTTTAACATTTGGCATAATTGCTGATATTATAAGCATATACAATTTTATAAGTTTTAATTTGATTTTGGGTATTTTTGTTTTTTCGTTAATTTTTATTTACTTTAAAACAGCTAGTGTATTTATTGGATACTTATCTTTAATTATTTATTTTTTTCATCAAAGTTTTTTTGCAAATCATATGTATATGTATATGTCCACAGTTTTTAAAGAAGAAAATTTCGCACTTCTCATTGGAATTATTAATGCATTTGCATCCATTGCATTTTTCATGTCTTTTAAAATTTATGAATATATTAAATACTATGGACAGGCTGTATATTCCCAAGTGATTATTCAAGTCCTCATCATGTCGTATATTTTGCTATATCTTTTTCATGTGCTTTACATAAAAAAAAAAAAAAACCAATCTCGCGTGCCATTTCTAGCATACTGAATTTTTGTATCCCTTAATGTGCAGCAGCAAAATTTGACTCCGGATTAAGCTGAACAAGAATTTTTTTCTCCCACTTAATTGAAAAAGGGAGAAATGTTAAGAAAATATAAAAATGACACAATTGGATTGTTTATCCATATGTATTGAAGAATTTAAAACTTCATATTTTGATAATTTATTTTCCCTTAAAGTACGTATTACGCGTTTGTTCTTTCATTTTTTGTAAAAAAAAAAAAAATTGCACACATGTGGTGGGAGGGTTGTGCAAATGTTTACTTTTTTTTTTCTATTTTTTTTTTATTTTTTTTATTTTATCCGTTTTGTTTCACATCTATTTGATATATTTTCCACAAATGATTTACTCATGAAATTTCGCTACCCCAATGAACTAAACATGAAGAAAAATCTCAGCATGTTTCAAAAAAGAATTTTTCTTTATCCGTATAAGTTAATATAAAATGGAAACAGATATATAGATATATGTATATATATATATATATATATATATACACGATTCATATTTTCAAGCAGTGTATTTATGCAAAAATGAGTGTACAATGTTTCACATGCATGTATGTTCCATTGCGTTTAAAAAAAAAAGGTTTATATATATGATATTAATTAATTCCTTTTCCTTCACGTTACAAAATATGCCAAGCGCACTGATTTTGTGAGTCACATTTATTTTTAAAAAAATTATAAACACGTTTTTTGCACATATATATAGCAAAATGACATCCAGATTTGTAGAATGGACTTTCTCCAAAAAGACAAAAAAAAAAAAAAAAAAAAAAAAAAACTTGTAGGTGATTTTTTGAAACATAACAGCGGGGATGTAAGCGGAAGGAATTATGTTTTGCAAAAAAGTAAATAAATTGGAAAGATAAGTAAATGCATAAACAAGCGTTAAACGAATAAATATTGGGGTGAACCAAAAGGTTCCTTGCATGTTCAACGTGCATCCGAGGTCCTTATGAATGTTTGGGTGGGATTCGACATTTATACATACGCACATGCTTATATATATATATATATATATATATATATATATATACATACTTACATACATATGTGTAAAATAAATGGGCAATATAATTTAAGCGAGCATGGTCTAGTGGCTATGACGTTCGCCTCACACGCGAAAGATCCCGAGTTCGATCCTCGGTGCTCGTAAAAAAAAAAAAAAAAAGAAAAAAACTTATAATGTAAAAAAATGATATAGAAAAAAAATGTTATAGGTTGTGTATGTAGGTGTTAATATGAAAAGGAAAAATAATTCTATCTAAATAAACAGAAAAAAGAAGAAAACCTTTTATAAAACCATATTATATAATGTACATATATAATAATTAATAGTGTCATAAATAGTTATCACCCATTATTAATACTAATATATAATAATATATAATATCCGTGTAACCTCCTCAAAATATGTTGTTCTTTTTGGCCTACTTTTTTATTTATTATGCATAAAAAAAATATCCGTTATGAAGTATTTTTAGAGACTTAACTTTTTTATTCTATATATTATTATAGGTAACTAAATATATAATCCGTTTATATATAATATCATTTTAGCACGTTGTAAAAGAAAAAGGAGTAACAAAAGTACCCACCCAAAAAATCTACTCTCACACACAGAGGACGCAGTTCCACATAATATCCCCGCTAAATCTCAACAAATTTTGCCATTCGGGTTAAAATGGATGATGATGCACTTTTTTTGTAGTGTGTTTCTTTACACTTTTACTTATTACCTGGGAGAGGAACAAAAATTCCGACATTCGTCTGTTCTTAAGTTTATTAAACCTGTTCCCTCCGCTCTAGCATGCATAAATCGAAATATGTATGAGGTGTTTGGTATACATATATAATATATATATAATTATATATAAATAATGTGTAAGGTGTTTTTTTTTTTTTTTTTTTTTATAAAATATTCTTAATAAGTACAGTAAAAACTGTGGTTATACTTCAAGTGTGAAAAAATATGCTCCACGTCCAAAAAGACGATTTTTCTGAAAACTTCCCAAAAAAATATGTAATTTCTTTTTTTTTCACTTTATGTCAATCATATTTAAATGACATGTACCCTCTTAACCCTGAAAAAAAAAAAAAAAAAAAAAAAAAAAAAAAAAATATTAATAAGTATATTTACATAGCATAGTAAATAACATAGTCATACAGAAACGTATAAAAACATCCACTGCAATAGTGCATTCACTGTGATCTCACAGAATAAAGAAATTTAAATTTTGGTTTACGTAGGGGGAGGGAGTGGAGGAGGGGTTTTTTCTTATCTCCAATTCTCCTAAAATGAAATTATATATTTTTCTAAAAAGTTTAAAAAAATATATATATATACTAAAATTATTTTGCAAGTATAATGCACCTTTTTGTGCTATTACTTTTTTATGGTCCCAGGCGGTCTCGAACCGCCGACCTTACGGTTATTAGCCGTACGCTCTAACCAACTGAGCTATAGGACCTACAATAATTTATTGCCATCCTTCTTCCTATATTGATTTTAGCATACGGATGTATAAAGAAATGCAACACTATTTCCAATTTGTCATGTACTCTTGAACCATTTTAGGGTGCATTAACTTTACAAAATGATAAAGGAAAAAAAAAAAAAAATTCTGCTACTAGTAACTTCAAGAAATTCTTTAATATGTATTTATCACCACTTAGTGCTTTTCATAATACATACATCTATACATATATATATATATATGTATACATGTATATATGTACAATATGCCTATGTTATGGTTAAGCTTGAATAATACCCTTTACGTAACCATATATAAAAAAAAAACTGAGCGGAAAAATATATACCTCAACGAAAAAAAAAAACACGTTACAAAATATTTCCAAGGCTTTGCATCCTTCATGTGCTTAAATACCAAACCTCCCCCGTTATATCACTGGGGGAATACTTTTTGTGAAGGTACTTTAAACAAGGGGTGATGAAATAAAAAAAAACAAAAAAAAGAAATGCCCAGAGCAAATGGAAAAAAGCCTATATATTATTTTTAACTACGTTACATAATACACTTCTTTTGTAGCATTAATTTTTTTTTTTTTTTTTTTTTTTTTGCCACAATAGTTAATGTAATGCTTAAATTAAGTTGCAACGGCTTATCATTGTTTCTTGATTAACCAAGGTTTTAAGCAGAGCAAAAAAAAAAAAAAAAAAAAAAAAAAAGAAAAAATGACCCCATGTCATAATCATTCTATTTTGTTATAAGAGTTCGAAAGGTGTAAATTGTATACTTTATACGCCCAGTACTATATGCAATCCCCAACGACTGGCATAAATACGAATTTATAATTCCATATAATTGTATGTATATATATATATATATATACTCATGTATGAAATACATTTTCAAGTTGAAAGCGCCCATTTTAGAATAAAGTTAATTTATTTTATCTGATTTTATTGTACTTTACTTTTTTATCTCTTTTTCCCAACGAATTAAATATCAAGCAAAAAATTGCACAAAAATAAAAGAATCTTTTTTTTTTTAATAGATAAGAAATATGTTCCATTAGTTTTATTCAAGTTATTTAAAAAGAACTCTTTTTTCTCCTTACATATTTTCCATTTTCCTTCCAAAATGAAGTTTAACAAGCGTAAGTTTAATAACATTAATTTGATTAATCCTGTATGCAATTTATACTTAAGGAGTTTATATGACTATTTCTTTGTATATTAAAATTATGTACCTTTTTTTTTTTTTTTTTTTTTTTTTTTTTGCTATGTTTTGCATTATTCCCACTTATTGGGATTTATACTACATGAGCACATTTACATATTTGAGTTTATGCGTTTTGGGATTTTTCCCAAGACGGTGGGATTAATGAATATCATTTTTTTTTTTTTTTTTTTTTTTTTTTTTGAACTTATGAGACATTATATATTATATTTATGTAAACATATGTAATGTGTATTTGTACAAGCACGTGTATGTTTTACACGGTCTTAACAACTGGACGCAAACGTTTGCTCACTGCATTTGCATGAATAATGAAGCCTCTTTAATTATGTGCAACTGTTTTTCACGTAATATTTTTTTTTTTTTTTTCTCCCACCACCCTCAGAAATATCCTCCTCCCGAAGGAAAATGAGAAAATCTCATTTTACGGCACCTGCTGGTCTTAGAAGAAAAATTATGTCATCCAAATTATCAAAAGAGTTGAGATTAAAATATAAGGTAAGGAGAACAAATTGTGATTACTTCTCCCCGTTAATTTTGTTCTCATACGTATGCAAATATACATTGTGTGTTTCAAAAATTCACAAGCATTACAAGAAATATACACCTCAATGAAAACGCACCCCCATCTCCTACATGCCATCATACACACGTTTATTTCTTTAGACGCGAGCACTTCCAGTTAGGAAAGACGATGAAGTTCTCATATGTCGAGGACATAACCATGGTCGAGAAGGAAAGGTTGTAAAAATAAACAGAAAGAGATTTAAAATATACGTTGAAAGAGTAACAAGAGAAAAGGCAAATGGAGAATCCACGTTCATTGGTATCCACCCAAGCAACGTCGTTTTGACAAAACTGAAAATTGACAAAAACCGTAAAAAAATTCTGGACAGAAAAGCGCCAAAAGAGAAATTATAAAACATACGCAGAGTGCATACATATTGCAGAGTTTTCTCTCCGCTTATTTTTCAGTTATAATATTAAGGAGTTTATGTGAACGATTTTTATATGTACACACACCGTGCCTGATAAAACATAAAAAGAAAGACGACCATACACAAAAGAAAATGTATATAATGCACAATAATGTATCTATTGCTTGAACCGCATATAAATGGAATATTTCACGCTTTCTTCATTTTATCAGCACGTTATCTTAGCATTTATATTTGCTTCTTTTTTTTTTTTTTTTTTTTTTTTTTTTTTTTTCCATAAAAACTTTTTAAATTGGTTTTTTAAATTTTTTAATTAAAAAGAAAAAAAAAAAAAAAAAAAAAAAAAAAATATATATTCAATACCACTGTTAGGCTTCATCATATTAGTGTGTTTTTTGTGTGTGTGTGTATGCCTTTTAGAACATTTCGAATTATGTAGGAGCTAGCTTTTTTTTTTTTTTTTTTTTTTTTTTTAAATTTATGAGGTAAATTAAAAGTTTATAAAAAAAAAAAAAAAAAAAAAAAAAAAAAAAAAATCTGTATTGGTCAGAAAATTACAATTTTCAAAATAGATCAAATAGGGTAAAAAAGAAAAAGTTTTGTAAATTTGGTATGAAACGTGTGCCAAATTGGATGATTATACAGAGAAAATAAAACAAAACAGGATAAAACAAAAAAAAAAAAAAAAAGTAGAGCAAAATAAAACAAATGAAAGTATAACATGCTAACAAAAACGAAGGAGTTGCAAAATTAGGAAATACGCAATTACAGTGTGCTTTCAAATTTCACAAATGAAGAGTAAAAAAAAAGTCGTATAATTTGGAAGCAAAAACGACATAAAGTGTTTTACTCCTATATATATGCACACCCGTTTTTTTTTTTAAAGGTTGCATATGTTTACGAGTCACAATATTGTAATCTTCGAAATAAATAAAAATATAACACAACATATTTCTTGAAAAGGGGTGGATCCACATGTTATTGCACACTGGGGTGTAAGTAGTTCTTTTGCGTCTTCTATTGTTGTTTCCCAGCTTCCTTTTTTTTTTTTTCTTCCGAATTGTGTAATTTTCTTAATTATGGGAGGAAATTTATGTATCTTTCATCGGAAGGTTTTTTCTCCTTTTTTTTTTTTTTTTTTTTTTTTGCGAATATGATAATTTGCTTTATCATCTTGCAACTTTATTATGTTTAAATTAAATTCATAAGTTGTGTCTCTTTTTTTTAGTGCATTATTTTTTTTTATAATTACTATTTTTTTTTTTTTTTTCCCTTCCCACCCCCTCCATCTTCTTTTGTAGAAATATGATGAAAATCGAAAGGAATCTACTACTAATGTCCCGATAATGGAAACAAGCAAAGAATCAACAGACGAAGGAAAAGAAAAACGACGTGAAAGAAGCACAAGTCTTGTTGACCAAACGGAGTTAGACAAACAGTTAAGCGATAAATTAACATCACTCACTAGCATTAACACAGAAATTTTTGAATCTGAACAAATCAGTAGTGATATGTCTTCCTTACAGACATCTTCTATGATAAAAAGTAGCATCAAAGATAATATTATATATCAAAGACAAAATACACAAATTATTTATGACAATTTAAATGATTTTAAAAATGTCCCCAGAAGATGTAAGAGTTCCCCTGATCTAATAAAAATTAGCAAAAACGTTATTACAAAATCTGCATCTTTTGCTGGTGTTATACATGAATATGAGAACTTACAAAACTTGTTAGATCCTATTATAATAGAAAAGATAAATTACTATAATGGAAATTATGTAAATGGATCAAAAATATATCAATCCAAAAAAAAAAAGGCCAACTCACTCAGTAGTAACATTTTTTCAGCAGGTTCTAGTGATTCATTTGATGATGATATCTTAGCAAGGTAAGTAATAAAAAAAAAAAACTCTTCAAATTTTTTTTTTTTTTTTTTCATTTTTTCAAGTAAAGCGAAGACAAAAAAAAAAAAAGAAAAAAAAAGTGATATTATCAAAATAGGCACTTCTAATCTATCGATGTTATGAACACATTAACACGTAAATATTTTATTACACAAAAATGTCCATTTTCTCAGCAATAAGGAATATACAACCATGAGTATGCAGGAGGAGGTAACCTCTCTCAGGAGCAAAGAAGAAAGTATCATTGCAAACCCTGAAAGACTTGGAGAGAATTTGTTTTTCAAAAAACCAAGAAGATATGAAAGGATGGCAAAATCGCTAGATGTTCCTACCCCTAGTGATACAGATTATGACAGGGCAATTATTCCATTCTCAAAGTGCAACTCCAGTTATTTCAACAATAGGGGAGTTGTAACTTATTTTTAAAAAAAAGGTATGAAGCAAAGAAGGAGAGAAACCTCCAAATAAGTAACCACCAAATGAGCAACCCAATTTAATGGAATAACATGTCTCCCAACCTAATATGCTAAGATTTGAGGAGCGATCCCCTATTTTGAGAATTTGTATTATTATGGTGGTGTATGATAAGCTGAATATATATCGACTCTTACTATTACATTTTCTTTTTCTCTTCTTTTTTTCTGCTTCCCCCCCTTTCTCTTTCTGTTCATCTTCTTCCTCCTCGCCTTGTTCCAAATTGTTGAATCCAATTTGGCCTACGCGAAACTGTGAACGGGAGAAGAGAAACAAGAAAAAAAAAATTATCACAATTAAGTGGAAATAAAATGGAAGTGTCCTTTTTTCACTACACAGAAGAGGTTTTATTGTGTTGAAAAAACTTACATACTCTAAAGTGAAACTCAAAATGTTTGTATCCATATCATATTTTTTTTTATGTTTATTCTTGGTCGAGTTGGATTATATACCATTGTGGTGAATGGGCAACTACGATCTTTCAAATGGAACTGCTTCGCTCAATTGGGAGGGGTGTTCTTTTTTCTTGTCAATTGTTACCCCAAGTGGTGTGCCCTGATATGGGATCTATCTTCATCTGCGATTAAATGTTTTTTTTGTATTCCTTAACTGTGTAAAACGGGGGAAAAAAAAAAAAAAAAAAAAAAAAAAAAACGCAAAATAAATTGTGATATAGAATGTGTAAGGAAATAATTTATTGTGGCACAAGGAAAATCTTCAATAACGCAAAGATGTTATGTTTATAAAAAAAAGAAAAAAAATAGTTTATTTACATATTTTCTGTCGCAGATTAGGTGGCAAGGTGTTCTGGAAAGTTTTAAAGTCAATGTAATTTTTGTTCATTTTAATTTTTTTATTGTTTTTTTTCTGTTCTTGAATAAGTAGTTTCATATTTTCACTTATGCACTGTTGGATGGATGGATGATCTGAATCAGGAATGTGTTTCTCACACAAAAAATGAGAAATGTCCTCAATGGAATTAAAGTCAATTGAGGGATTGTTGGTTTCTTCTTTCTTCTCGTTGTTTATTATTTCCTTTATTTCAATATTTTCACAAGTTTGGCCAAAGTTGTCTAAAAATAAATGTTCACATATTTTTATTTCTTTGTATATGTCTATCAGTGAATTTTGTTTTACCTCGTTTGGGTCTTCTTGTGCTTTCTCAATATGGGAAAAATTGTGGAAGTCATCCTTGTCGAATGGGCCACCATCGAAAGAGGTATCATTGAAGAAATCATCATCAGTAAAACTATTATTGGAAAACATATGATTTGTAAAGTTTACTTCCTTTGTCTTTTCGACATCGGATGCATTAGCACAAGTCTGTTCCTGCCCCTCGTACTTAACATCACCTTGAATTTCATTTTCTTTCCTTATGCATTTTTCTCTTCCATCTTGATCTTTCAATTTTTCGTGGTTGGCACTTTGGTTTACTTTAGTATCCGTCTGATGGTCACTTAATTGGACTCTGCGTTGTTTTACTCCGCTTTCTGAATTTTCATTTTCATTTTCGAATTCACTTTTCGTCTTACATTCCCTGATCAGGAAACTGTTTGATAGTGGAAATAGCTCTTCATTCAGTTCATTCAGTTCATTCAGTTCATTCCTCGTTTCTCTGCTCCGATGACTCTCATCGGTATTGTTCTTCTCTTCCCCCTGAGGGGCAGGGGAAGAACTGTAGTTTTCACATGATGTAGAATCAGCTTGTTGCGAGGTTATCACTGCCTCTGCTTCTTCCGCTGCTTCTAGTTCGGCCTCTACCTCTGCATCTGGCTCAAGGGATAGATGTCTATTCTCTTTGCCATCCTTTACCGCATCACATTTATCCTTTTCATTGCCTTCACCATTTTTACAAAATTTCTCATTTTCTTCTCGATCTATAGAACTAGTGTTATTACTTTTCTTGTCAACATGGCCACGTTGAAACTTTTGGGAATTTTCTCCCAGCTCATTTACAATTTGATTGTTCATTTCATTCAGCTTAGTACCCAATTGGTTAACCTGTTGCTTCAATTCTCCTTCTTTCTCAATTTGTAAATTTAAAGTTTCATCTTGTACCTCATCCTTATAGATTATAAGATCATTTTTCTTTTTCATAATGTACTAGACGGGCGGGGGAAAAACCCTCACGGAGTGGACATCATCAGGTGAAGGAAAAGCGTATGAAAAGTGGAATTATATGAAAGTGACATAAACAGAATGAAAGAAAGTAAGCAAGTCCATATATATCGGATCACATGTGTATAACTTCTGCATTATTCAGAGATAGAGAGTCTCTATTATCCTTTCTTTTTACATCCTATAACATTTGTGACATTTTGCATAAATCTACTACTTTTGTGTATTCTTGTAGTATATTTTTTAATTATACACAAAGATGGGGAGAGGAATAAAGATAAAAAAAAAAAAAAAAAAAAAAAAAAAAAAAAAAAAAAAAAAAAAAAAAAAAAAAAAAAAAAAAAAAAAAAAAAAAAAAAAAAAAAAAAAAAAAAAAAAAAAAAAAAAAAAAAAAAAAAAAAAAAAAAAAAAAAAATATTAAAAAAAAAAAAAAAAAAAAAAAAAAAAAAAAAAAAGCCAAACATAACCAAATCAAACAAAACCAAAAAAGGAACATATATTCATTCTAAGTTACTCAACCGGCATGGTATATGATGTAACACAAATGTAGGAACGTCTCCAATGGCAAAAACAAAAAAAAAAAAAAAAAAATATATAATTCATTTGTAGAACTAATTCTTTACGTATTTTCATTTTTTTTTTCTTTTTTCTTTTTACGTTCCATTTGTACTGTTCCTTCGGTATGCATACTTTTAGAAAATTAATTCATGATTCTTTGTTCTTTTTCACCTGCCATATTTACTCTTTTCATCCATCATTTTTGCTCCATCTTTCCTTTTTCTTCCATTCTTTTTTTTTTTTTTTTTTTTTTTTTTCTCTCTACCACTCTCCCCTCTCCCCCCATACTGAGGATGAAAGAACTAAGAGATATGGATAAAAGAATACCAATCGAATGACACGAATAGGTGTGCTTTCACATTTCTGCGTTTATCATCTTCTAAGTCGCATGAATTAAGCATCAGTCCTACTGATCAAAGTAGAGCAACATGGTGGAAGTTTGAAGCTGTACCCAATTACATCCTACCATCATAGCTCATTTTGAACGTTTCACCCGTTTGGTCTGCTTTGAGTCCTGCATTCTGTGATCCCACCGCTACCATTCCTGATAACATATGCATGTATAAACATGTGTATAAGCATTTGTATAAGCATGTGTATAAATATGTGTTTTTACTTATATGTATCTATCCGTATGTACATACATATTCGGCTAACCGTCTTCACACCTCCTTCAACTATAATCTTCTCAACCGTACCACAATCCCAGTCGTCATGACAACTGTCAGAAAAGAGTAAAAAGGAATAACCTTCCCCACGAATTAACTGGCCACACCAAAAATAAAGTAAAATAATATAAAATAAGAAAAATAAAATAATATAAAATAAGAAAAATAAAATAATATAAAATAAGAAAAATAAAAAAACGGATTTTTCTTCAAGTGGCAAGAAAACGATTATGAGAAAAATTGCACCTTGGTTTGTCATACTTCTTCTCACAATTCTGAATATAACTCATGGGTATAACATAATAGTGAATAATACAAAATTTTTATTCAATATTAAAAATGCGAAGGTGGACAAGCAGCACACTTACAAATGGGAAAACTTGAACGAAGATGGAAGAAAACATGAATTCAAATTACCTGATTGGTCAGGTGATAATTGTACACTGGAACAAGCCAAAGCCTTTTTTGAAAACAGGTTGGAAGATGAACCAAGTGATACAAGAGGTGATATTATAACCGATTTTAAGAACAGGTTTGTTGATGAAGACAATCAAAATGGTTTTCTTAACGATGGGAATCATAATGGAAATCAGGGAAGTGGTGATGGTGAAGATGAGAGGATTAAACTATTCAATCTTGCAATGGAATTGAAAGAAGGATCAAACAACAGGAAGCCAAATATTAACAAGAGCATAAGCATATTTGAGAAATTAATATTGGAAAAAAAAAAGGATAAAATAACATCTTCGTCCTACTATGAGCTAGGAAAAATACACTTTATAGGTTACAAGAATATTTTCTTTTGTTATAAGAGAAATTTAAAGTTGAGTATTTATTATTTGGAGAAGGCTAGTCAAATGAGAAATCCAGGTGCTTTGCATTTCTTAAGTTTTATATATTTTTTCGAATTTGATAAAGAGGTGGAGAAGCAGGGACAAGGGCAGGCACATAATCAGAGGCAGACAGAGGGAAGTAAATCTGATCGTGGTTCTTCCCCCGACGCAGATGTAGCTACAGAGGGAGGTATATTTAAAGATGAAAATAATAAGAAAAGAAAAAACATGCATATGGAGGAGAGAAACACAAAAAGAAAGGAAATATCCAAAGGAAAAAGTGATCATTTTATACTACATAAGCAGTACAAACCTAGTGATCCTCCAACGAATAATAAGAAATCGATGAATCCATTTTTAAAAAGCTCAATTGAGTATGAATTTTTGGCATGTGGACTTAGCTATACCCCATCTGTTTTAAGTGTAGCTTACAAATATTTATATGGAATAAACTTAAAAGCAAATTGTGAAAAATCCAAGAATTATTACAAAATGGTTGCTGATAAAGTGATGAATTCAGATTACATAAATGTTCCTCTATCTGAATTGGACATTTTAAATGTGGAAAATTTAAACATGCACAATGAAATTAATAATTTGAAAGATAATGAGGAAGACATTTTAGAATTTCTAAATGATCAGATAAAAGGAGGTGATGTTATGGCTTTGTATGACTTGGGTAAGAAATATAAGGAGGAAAGGAACTTCACAAAAGCCTACGAATATATTACAGAAGCGTCAAAAAAAAACAACGTACTCGCGCAGAAGGAACTTGGCATTATTTACCTTTACGGCTATGGGACTCAGAAAAACATAAAAAAGAGCATCGAAAATTTTACAAAGGTATGGCATTTCAACCTAGGGGGAGAGAGAGAGAGAGACAGACAGACACAGAGAGAGAAACAGAAAAAGAAACGGAGAGTGAGGAGGGAGAAGAACCCTGAACCCCGTACGTGCTTCCACACGCATGCATCTGTTGTGGTAACATTACATCCACCCATTCTTCTGCATCTTTCTATATTTTGTCCAATTTCTTCCACGCCTCTCTCAGGCCGCTGCCGCTGGAGATGTTGAATCCAAGTGTTATCTCGGATATATCTACTACTTCATGGACGAACACAGAAACGTAAAGCTATCTATCAAGTACCTTGTGGAAGCTGCCAACCACGATTATGGAGAAGCCTTTTTTTTTTTAGCTGAAATTATATTGGATTTGTCGATAAAAAAACATTACATCTCAGATGCAGTATACAGAATCATATTTAAACTTTATGAACATGCAGCTGATTTGGGCTATGTTCAGGCATATTTCAGAGAGGCACAGTTGTACGAAATAGGAAAGGGGGTCAAACAGTCTTGCCTGAACGCCACACTATCATACAAGTTTGTTGCAGAAAGTACCTTATGGACAAACAAAATTAGGGAAGGTAACTAGAATGGCATGTTTGAAATGGTTTCCTTTTGAGTGCACATGTGTTTTTGATATGGTTCCCCTATGAGTGCATATGTGTTTTTGATATGGTTCCCCTATGAGTGCACAAGTGTTTGTTGATATGGCAAAAGTGCGCCTTTCCATTGATCGTTAAGCAACATGTTGAAGGATTTGCATGAATACATATCTCTCTCCAACACCTCCAATGAATCTGAATTTTTTTTTTTTTTTTTTTTTTTTTTTTGAGTCTCAAAATTTTGATCTTCACTTTTATTGTGATTTCCACATTTTATTTATATATTTATTTATTTTAGGAATGAATTACTATATACAAAAAGATTACATCAAGGCTTTCTACACATACGCGTTGGCTGCTTATGAAGGATATGAAGTTGCACAAAGCAATTTAATTTACATTTATAAGAACAACAAATTAGAAAATTTGATAAGTCCAGAGAAAATTATGCAGCTATTGCATCTGTTGTATAAACAAGGGAATTATAAAGCACTATACGAAATTGGTATGATTTATAACAAACAGAATAAAGAAAATATATCGATCAGTTATCACAAGTTAGGATTGAATAAGGGTGATTTACGAAATCTTCTTCCTTTGTCTGTTTATTATGAGAAAAATATGAACCCCGACAGGTTGGTTTGCACGTGCATACACAAGTGGAAGGTTTTTTTTTTTTTTTTTTTTTTAGCGTCACCTTTTCGCTTTTACTTATTTCACTTTTTTCCACCTCCGTTTTTCTTCTCTCCAGGGCACTGAAATATCTCAACTATTTTATGAAACAGAAAAAGCGAGACAAGGTCTCCAACAACACCAAGGTTGATCGAATAAGAAACATTTTCGAAAGTTCCCTGTTGTACTTTCGTAAGTATAAGTTACTTTTCAAAAATTTTTTCAGGGCTAAACAAAAAAAGGGAAACATATGAGATGACTGAAAGCAGAAATAAATACATATCACCGGAGTAGATTGTGGTGATGTGAACCTACACATTATGTGTGAGAACAACGGGATATGCAGAAAAGAATTTACCGCTCGAAAAATGAACACACATGTGTAGATGCAGATCCAGGAAGATAGACTTATATGTATATACATAGATGTATACCAGACCTCACACATACACAAATGCACATTTTTGAAAATAAAAAATTAAAAACAAATTCGACATTTTCATTCGCATATATATATATATATATATAAATTCTCTCTCTCTCCTTCCAAAATTCCCAAGGAACAAACATATCACCCACACACAACCCTCTTGGTCATATATTATATATAAAAGCCTTTTTAAAACTTCATCCTAGTGTGGTTCACATATAATATTGCAAAACGTGGACTGATTTGATTTCTATCTTGTTGCATACAAAAGTTGTGTGCAAACGAGATAGATTTTTTTGCTTTTCTTTCTGCCACTCTTTTTTATTGCTTCCCATTTTGCTATTAATTTTTTTTTGCTTCACTTTTTTTTCTTCCTTTTTTATAAACAACTTGGACGTTTGTATTTTTATTTTGCTTTCAAAATGAATCCATAACCCCCCCACACACACACCCAAAAAAAAAAAAAAAAAAAAAAGAAAAAAATAGAAACAAGTTAAAATTTTTTTTTTTAAGTGTTCTCCCTTTTTGAATATTCGCGTGTCATTTTGTTACTATTGTCTGTATACTTTTATCCTTATAGTAAAAATATCATCTTTTCCATTGGATTGAACTGTCGTATGCATATGAAACAGTAGGAGTTATTTAACGCCAAACTATTTTTTTTTTTTTTTGTGAATAACTTATCAGTGATCTCTGCTTTTTCTAATCATAGTAATTCTCCTTGGACGTTTCTATCTCTGAAGGTGAATAAATATAACTGTTGCTGGAGTAGTTCACTTGTTGGGTATGAACCACATCTACATTCGTAGATCCCATGACTTCTCCAGTTAGGTGCTTTTTCTTATCCTCTTCAATATTATCTGGAAGGTTTTGATCATTCTTAGTCATCTTCGAAATGTTTAATATATCATTGTATGGAAATTTTATAAGGGAGTAAAAATTGGTCATTTTTTTTTTATCATAATAATTGTACGGAAATTGAGGATATTCATAATAAAACAAATTTGGATATTCATCAAAGTGAAGTTTGTCTAATTTTTTTAACACATCAGGCTCTACAACAACATGATCATCATCACTGTTTTTACCTTTTATATTAATTTTGTTTACTAACCATCTGCAATCAATATTGTCTCTCAAAATTTGAACAACTTTTTTATTTTGCAATACTTCATTTGGAATATGTGTCATATTCGTCTTTTTCTCTTCCTTGGTTAAGAACTTTGCCCACTCGTACAAAATGGATTTCATACTATCCTTCTTCAGTATACTTATTTCTTCATTCTTGAAAATTTGAAATCTGTTTAATAGTAATTTTTGTAATTCCAGAAATCGCAAATTTGCTAACATTTGAAAGTGCGCCTCCGATCGAAACATTCTTTTCGGAATTTTTGCACAGGGGATGGAGGCGTGATCTTTTCAATTTATCTCGCTAAATGTTCGTAGATTGCATTACATTATGTATTCATGGGAGAGAAATGATAAAAAATGGGCGAACTTTTTTTGGACAGTTATATGGAAGACGTGTGACAATTCTTAGTTAATTGTGTGTCAATTCTTAGTTAATTGAGTATTATTTATAAAAAAAAATATATCTGTCCTAAAATATAATCACCACCCTAGTATATTATATATACACACCCACTGTTTTGATGAATACAATTGTGTGATGAGACAAGCCTCCGTGTTATGATAAATAACTTTCTAACATTTCTAGAAATAACCACGAAAATACACCACTTAGATCTATACCAAGAACATTCGGGACATATCTCTGCATAGGTAATGAGAAGGTGGAAATAGGGTAAATAAATGAGTATATGTGAATTGGGCATTTTATTTTTTTATGACTTGTTCATATATTTTTTTTTCCTTTTTTGTAATTTTGCGCATGTGTATATATGTACATATGTGTACGGGCATATTTTTTTTTTTTTTTTTTTTTTTATTTTTTTTTTGGCTAGCTCTACATGAAAAAACTGGACATAGCTATTTGTGTAGGTAAATATGTAAGAAAACGGGTTCAGATGGGGATTTATTTGGGGTAACCACTCTAGTAGACATCTAATGTAAATTACAAATTTGTATATTCTGAAAAGTGGAGAAACGTTAATTTTTAAATGAGTTTTTTTTTTTTTTTTCATGTCTGAAAATGAACACTTGTAGGTGTGTAAGCGTATGTAACACATGTAATGATGAAGGTCACACGCAAAGTTTGTTTGTGTGTGTGTGTGTGCAAAATATGTATATATGTATAAAAATATACACATCAAAGCTGTTAAGAGAAAACATATCCTTCTACCTTATAAAGTGTAAGGCTGACAATCTTATGCTATTTATATTGTTTCTGAAATATCTACAAGGTAATAGGTATGCATAGGGGTAAAACGTGTGTGAGTGTACGTGTGTAGGGGAGTTTGGAATGTGAATTTTAAACCTCCTTAAAAGTGTGCAAAATTGCTTGTGCATAGGTGTGTGGGGAAAGTGTAAGAACATATTGCTTATATAAACGGATAGAAAATAAATATACATATATACATTTATGTGTATATATTTTTTCTTTTTTTGTTACTCAGTGACTACAGACACAGTTGGAATACTGATTAACTGCAACTTAAATTTGTTAACTGTTTTTGAAAAGTCCTGTAAAGGGGGAAGGGACAGAACAATCGTCAGTTATGATCACGCATGTATGAAATATAAGTGTATGTTTATGCAGTGCGTATGGCCCATGTGCATCCCGTGTGTATGTCGTATGTATACACAGGGGCGCTGTGTGGTCTGGGGACAAAGGTCAGATGTTATTACCGTGATCTGCTTATTTATGAACACGTTGGTTTTGAAACTCTTTTGAATTTCCTTAATTTTTTGAATATTGTTATTGTGCAAATTTAAAATTTTATATTTGTTGTTTTGTGCTTGCAAAATAAATGCTTTAAATTTTAAAATATTTGCATTATTGTTAAGTGTATTTGCATTTACTGCACAAAATAAAAACAGTATAAGCACATGTTTAAAACTCATTTTCTACATAGAGATGCTTAAATGTGGCTACTCAAAATATGAGTGAGAGGAATTTTTATAGTACATTGATTTGGTCCTGTGCAAGCATGTGCATTTACGGAGGTGTGCATATGTGCATATACATGTGTAGATATACACAGATAGGTGTCACATAGTGTGAACAAAAGTATACATATTCTCGCTAATCATCTTTTGTACAATAATGCAGATCTTGGTATGTTTGTGTAGGTGATAGTGGTTATTCCCTGGTTTGTGTCATACTTTATTTTCTTTTCCCTCAATCTCCTTTATGTTTCCCATAGAGATGTAAAAAGTTTTTCCATTATTTGTTCGATTTGCGATTCTGTCGTGTTTATATTCACATGGACTTCTTTTGTTTGAGTACTCTAAACTTTTGGCAGTTGTATCATGTGCTTTCAATTCCCCTTTCTATAAGTTTAGCCTTTTTTTTTTTTTTTTTTTTTTTTTGCATGTCCAGTGTTGTAAAATGGTATACATTATAAGGAATTAATTTTCACATTACGTGGAATACGAGTTATATAAAAAAGAAAAAAAAAAAAAAAAAATACTTGGCTATTAAAAAATATATTTTTTTTTTAACATGAATACAGAAACAGAAAGAGAAAATGCAATGCGTAATGCAATTACCGCTTGCTGTTATCACATTAATTGTGATGGAAAAGGAATGAATAAATCCGGAAGAAAAGAAATTGAAACGGAGCTAAAAATTTTAAAAAGGGTGTTAAGATCACAATTTCTAGAACATGCGTGTCACATAATGGTATACATGTATAAATGTATGTTATTATCACATATTGTGTCTCTTCCTTTTCTTATTATGCTATATTGGAGTACAAATTAAAAAAAAAAAAAAAAAAAAAAAAAAAAAAGTTGGCGTAAAGATTTCCAGATTAATGAAGTGCAAATCCTCATTATATTTATTTTTATACAGGCACACACGATAATTTATGAACAAAAATTGTGCATATAATTAAATAAATACACAACTCGCGCAATCGGGCATATGCATATATGACAAACGAGCAAATAAAAAGGGTAGTAAAAAAAGGGTAGTAAAAAAAGGGTAGAAAATAAGGGGTAGCAAAAAAAGGGGTATTAAAAAAAGGGTATTAAAAAAGGGGTATTAAAAAAAGGGTATTAAAAAAGGGGTATTAAAAAAAGGGTATTAAAAAAAGGGTATTAAAAAAGGGGTATTAAAAAAGGGGTATTAAAAAAAGGGTAGAAAAGAAAGGGTAGAAAAGAAAGGGTAGAAAAAAGCATGCACACACCGAAACACTGTGGCGATACAAAAATTGTGAGAAAAAAAAAAAAAAAATCCAACAAAAAATTAAGAATATTTTATGAAATGAAAAAATCTCCCTGCTCTGATTAAAGAAATATCAAATTTTTTCAAATCCAAATCACTTAAAACTATGATACTTAAATTTTTTTTTTTTTTTCTTCTCATGCATTGAATGTACCTTTCCTTGTAAATTTTTTCCAATTTCTTAAAGTCAAATGTTACATGTGCTGATAGGTTTTTACATTTGGTTCTTTTTTTGAAATCCTCTTCTGTTGAACTGATTTTTCCCGAATTATCTGAATTTTCATCATAATACTCTTTCCCTAATCTGTGAGGTCTTTCCTTCCCTCCCTTCGGATGTACTTGGTTAGCTACATTAACATGCATGTTACGCTCTCCACGTGTGACATATCCTCTATTAGTAGCACTCTTGCATACAGTGTCATCCTTGTGTATATTGCCACCTTTCTGTATAGTGTCACCCCCATCGTGTTCGTCCATTTGACAAGACAATCTTCGCTGGACGTGCCTCCTCTGTGTGTGGTTGTCGATGCTGTCAAGACATAGCAGAAGTGTAGTGAGAATTCTTCCATTGTCGTTTGCCTCACGTTCCCCAAGTATATGAATATTAAGGCTATGGGTGAGCGAGGAAGAAGAAGAAGAAGAGGGGAGATGTTCATGTAGGTCATTCTCACCACTAGATGAGGTGTTTGCAATTACATCAATCCCGTCAATAATGAGGCAGAGATTCATTGTTGTGTTTTTTAAAATACGTTGACATTTTTTAAAAACGTTTAAAATATTTTGCTCTGTTTGGCTAAAATATGATCCAAACAAGGTATTTAAATTTACTGAATGGATATGGAAGTTTGGCATTTTTTTAAGAAATTGGATAAACTGATTTCTGTTAAGTTTCTCACAATTGTATATAAAAACGCGCGTGTAATTTTCCAAGTTATAGAATTTTAAAAAATTCGAATTTTCTTCCTTCAATAGTGAAAAAATAGACCAAATTTGCTTAAAAAATGGTTTCTCTTTTTTTTTGCACTTTGCCATGAGCCACTTTTCCAGCTCGTCTCCCCGTTTGTCATTCCTTTCACCACTTTTTCCGCTTAAGCCACTTTCACGGCTACCACTTCTGTCATGTATGCCTGAAGGGGACACCTGCTCTAACTCATCATTAACCAAGAAATTGATTCCGTTAGCAATACCCCACCGAGTCACTTGATCGTCAACAATGTGAAACACAGATGGCCCTTTGATTCTGTCCGAACGGTTGATCAACCCAGCTAGAAAGAGTTTATAATCCTGATGTAACAAATGATATGATAAAACAAAACATAAACATTTTGAAAGATGTGCAATATACTTAACTCTTTTACATATATTCTTTTTAAAAAATTGGAAATCCCAAATGATCTGCGTAAAATTTATGAAGCAAATTTTACGCATTAAGAACTTCCTAAGTGAAAAGTTAAAGTTGACATAAAAGTTTAAGTTTACTTTAAATTTATTCATGACATATTCTTGTATATGATATACATGAGCATATTTGGAGTTTTTTTTTTTATTTTTTCCTGGACAAATTAAAACAACAGCATAAATTAATTTGTTTCTGTTCGATATTATTACACATTTGGTATCTTCTTTTTGTATGGTGAAATAATATTCTAAAATATTTGTTTTTTTTTCTTTTTCTTTTATTTTCAATTTTAAAATTAAATCACTATGTATAAATATTTCTTTCCCTACGTTTGTAAGAAGAATTATAAACTTTTCATTATTGTAATTTTTTTCCCTAAATTCTATATCCTCTTCTTCCTTGTCTCTCTTTATTCCTTCTTGTTCCAACAATCTTGCACTCTTCAATCTTCCATCCTTGTGAATCATGTAAAAAGTATCATTTCTGATTTTGTCATTTTCTGAGGTTGTTTCTACGACATTACTATTTGGTAATCTACCTAGATTAACTTTCCTTATATTAGCATCTTTTTGTGTTCCATTAATTTTATGACCTCGAAGGTAATCAATATGCTCCTCAAGCAAAAAAACAACTAAATTATACAACCGTTCTGCAATTATTAAATTGTTGTCATTCGACGTTTTCATTGCAAATAATGGGTGTAAAAGTTTTTTTTTTTTTTTTTTTTTTTTTTTTCCCCCACCTCCCCCATTACACACTCGATAAAAAAGAAGAAATAGAAGTTTGTGAAAAACTTGTTAGGTTTTTCATTTCTTTCTTACATCTGAACAGAAGAAAATAAAATTTTAAAAGATAAATCAACTGTAAATGATTACTTCTTTCTCATTTTTTGTTGGCACTTAATCATTCTTGCGCTGTTCTGCTGTGGTGAAAGTGTCGCATTAACTTTTATTTCTTTCCTTTTTTTTTTTGTTCACCTATTTCATTTTTTTACATTTCTACCTGGGGAAAGCAAAATTGCATTTTTCCGATCCACTCCCACTCCAGCACCTTCCATCAGGTGTCATAATATTTTTTTTTTTTTTTTTTTTTTTTTTTTTTTTTTTTAAAATTTTTTTAAACTTTTTTTTTTTTTTTATTTTTTTTTTTTTTTTTTTTTTTTTTTTTTTTTTTTTGAAATTTTTTTTAGTCTTTTTTTTTATTTTTTCGTTGCATTTTTTTTTTTTTTTTTTTTTTTACTGATCAATGTCTGTCACTTTTATGAACAAGCAATAGATTATATGTAGCTTTCTAATATCACCCTTAAGATAAAATGTCGTACAGACTGGAACACCCATGTAGAGATATGTGTGTATATCCTTAAATCACATGTTCGTAGGTTGTTTGTAAGAGCATTTCCCTAACAGGGGATCAAGGGCAAGGGTCGTCATTTGATAGGTGCATAAAACGGGTAGTTGCAAAGAGGGGTAAATTCAAAAATTGGTAGATGTAAAGACGTGGCTACCCTGAAGGAACGGTTTCTCTCCAGAGGGGTGAGAAAAAAAAAAAAAAAAAATGATTATCCAAAAGACCATAAAAAAGCTGGGCATCTTCAAAATAAGCATAGTTGGTGCATCAAATAGCGGAAAGTCGTCCCTGCACAATGAATTGATGAAAAGAATTAGTGTGAGTTACAAAGAATCTATTGTTCATAAAGTACCAAATTATTCTATCAAGAATAATGAAAACATATTTCATATGGACAATGTAAAATGTATGGTAACTGATACGATAGGGCTAAATGAAGAAATGATACAAAAATTTCACACATGGAAAAAAAAGAAGTATGATCAAGGGTTCGAAAATAACAACATCATCAAAAACTACTTTAACAATATACAGAACAGCCATTTAATTATTTTTTGTGTAAAAAGTTGTGAAGTAAGACAGAGTGATGTATTAGCATATCAAATTGTTAAAGATATATCTCGCGAAAATATGAATGTGTACACTGTCATTCTCAATTACAGCGATAATCCCAATCATGGTCTCAAGCCCAATCATAGTCTCAATCACAATCGTGATGTCAATGGATATTGGGAGGGTAGTGATCACTTGTATTCTGATCCCACACCAAATCAAAAAGCTTATCATTTTCTACACGTATATGAACATTTCAATAACGTTATTTTTTTCCCCAAGAAATTAGAAATTCAAGACGAGGAGGGTCAAGATCTCGATTTACTGAATCTCATTCGCACAAAGGTGAGAGATGACACTACCATTGAAGGGGCAAGACAATTTGACTCTGCTCAGTGCAGTGAAAGTATAAAAAAAATTTCCTCAGATACTCTTGCTAATCACGATCCAAGTGCAGAATACAACCAAGAAATGATTAATCTCATAGACGAAAGCATCCGCATCTTCCGGCCCAAGATGAGTGATGAGACAAGAAACTACTTTTACAAATTCGTGAACCTGAAGAAAAAGGATAAGTCCAACGAGAACTTATTTAATGACTTCCTGAGCGAAAAAATTCTCAGCAAATCCTTGAAAAAAATATCGCACGTGAAGTTTCTCGAGAGGGGTGCTCGTCCCGTCGATGATCAGGTAGATAACACAACGGCTAACCATGAGAAGTGTGCGAATCGTGAGAAGTGTGCGAATCGTGAGAAGTGTGCGAATCGTGAGAAGTGTGCGAATCGTGAGAAGTGTGCGAATCGTGAGAAGTGTGCTAATCATGAGAAGTATGCGAACCATGAGAAGTGTGCGAACCATGAGAAATGTGCGAATCGTGAGAAGTATGCGAACCATGAGAAGTGTGCGAATCGTGAGAAGTATGCAAACCGGACAAACGACCTGAACGAATACTTCTTCAAAAAGGTGCAGAGTGACTTTGAGCAGAAAAAGAAAGTTGTCACGAAAGTGAAAAATAAACGGATTCAAATTCTGAAGGCTATTGTGAGCGGAGACGGGAAAGCCAATCCGTATGACTTGATAAATCTCAGGGGTGAGATGAACTCCATTGAGAATCAAATGATGGGAGGAGAAAGGTGTCCAGGGAGTGACGCTCCTATTAGACGTGAACCACAAGATGAGAGTGAACCACAAGTTGAGAATAAACCACAAGATGAGAGTGAACCACAAGATGAGAATAAACCACAAGATGAGAATAAACCACAAGATGAGAGTGAACCACAAGTTGAGAGTGAACCACAAGGGGGACGGAGACGACAGTGGGTGGAGACGACAAATAATAAATTAAAGGTCTGCTTTTTAGGAGAAAAAAACTGCGGGAAAACGACACTGATAGAATCCATTGTAAAGAATAACATCATAAGCGAGAAAGATGTAGTGGAAGTGCTGGGGAAAAGAAAATACGTAAACAATGATATGATTATTGAACATAGAAACAAACGAATAGAAATCTTAGACACATGTAGCTTGAAGAAGCAACACAAGTTTAAAGGGGAAGACAATTACTATGATGAAAACACCAGAGTATTTAGTAATATTCGAAAAAGTGATATATGTGTATACATAAAAGAGGCAAAAAATAATTCCATTAGTCTGTGTAAAGAAGACAAGAAAATGATATTTTATTTATCAAGAGAAAAAAAAAATATAGTATTCATTGTAAGCAAAATTGATCTGATAATTACCGAATTTGAAAAAAAAAAAAATGAATTTTTATCTTCCTTCACGAATTCTTTTAGTGATATCCCAGTTCTATTTTTAAACACAAACAATCAAATACACATACAGACATTGCTTAACCGGCTAGTTCATATACATAAGATGAGCAACACAACCATTTCTACATCTATTTTGAATTTATTTTTAATGAAATTTTTAAAATTATTTCCAATCCCATGGTTGAAGAAAAAAAAATGCAGTTTTAAATTTATGAAGCAGATTAAAACAAACCCCGTTACATTTCTCATATTTACCAATTTATACAAAAATATTCCAAATAATTATTTAACATTTTTTAAAAAAAAGTTGAAGAATGAGTTTCATTTAAAATATATTAATATTCAGTTTGTTTTTAAAACTACTTGTGATAATAGAAATGCTAAAAAAAATCAAGTAGTAAAAAGGTAAGATATAAAAAAAACCTCGCACCCGATGAATTTTTTGCTACTCTTCGTTTTCGGTTAAATGTGTGCCATATAGGTCGAAGTGTGTGCTATATGGGGTAGAGTACTACATCTATAAAGAGCTACAGAATCATTTTCCCCATGTATATATTTTTTTTTTTTGAGTGACTTTTTTTTTTTTTTCTTTACCACAATTTTTTTTTTTTTTTTTTTTCTCAATAAATTGCTGCACACCTCCCTTCAGATCAATAAAAAGTTAACGAGAGTCTATTCCTCTTCTACTTCCTAGTCCCCTTTTTTTGAGAATTTTGCGAAAGCAGTACTCATCCCTCTCCACAGTTTTCATTCAACGTACCTTGGTTATTTGCCTGCTCATTTGGCAAGTTCGTGTCTGATCCTTCCTCGGCGTGGTGATTCTCTGCTTTGAGACCGCCCGCCTCTACAGCTTCATCGACAACTGCATCTGCTTCGTTCTTCACTTCTACTTCTACATTTACTTCTTTCTTCTCGTCCACTTCTACATCTTCATTTGCTTCTTTCTGAACTTCCACTTCTTCATCTGCATTTGCTTCTTTCTTCTCGTCCACTTCTACATCTGCATCAGTTTCTTTCTGCACGTCCACTTCTACATCTGCATTTGCTTCTTTCTGCACGTCCACTTCTTCATCTGCATTTGCTTCTTTCTTCTCGTCCACTTCTACATCTGCATCAGTTTCTTTCTGCACGTCCACTTCTACATCTTCATTTGCTTCTTTCTGCACTTCCACTTCTTCATCTGCATTTGCTTCTTTCTTCTCGTCCACTTCTACATCTGCATCAGTTTCTTTCTGCACGTCCACTTCTGCATCTGCATTTGCTTCGTTCTTAACTTCTACACCTGCATCTGCTTCGTTCTTAACTTCTACACCTGCATCTGCTTCGTTCTTCACTTCTACACCTGCATCTGCTTCGTTCTTAACTTCTACACCTGCATCTGCTTCGTTCTTCACTTCTACAACTGCATCTGCTTCTTTGTGTTCTTTCACTTCGCTCGGTGCGTGCTCATTTAGTGTAACTCTCCATTTGCGTAAATCCTTAGTGAAACTTTTTTCGAAAGGGAGACATGTATCTTTTTCGTTTTCTGCAGATTCGATTGCTTCTATTTTTCTGGAAGCTGCATCTACTGTCATTTCGTATGGCTTTTCGCTCTTCTGCATCGTAGCAGGTTCCTGCATCACCATTTGTTCATGTCTACTTTCGAGCTTGGAACTGGAATGAATCTTTTTATCGTCGCCTTGTCCAGTAATAGCAACATGGTTGGGACTTGCAATTAAGTTCTTTGAGTTGGTTCCTTTGTCTGTATGTTTTCCTGCATGATTCGGAAGTGTAGATGTAGTGAGAATGATTCAAGAGTGTAAGTGCACCGGTGCGTTGCTAGCAAGTGGCAGAAGCAAAAAAAAAAAAAAAAAAAAAAGGGATTGATTCGAGTTGTGCATTTTTTTTCTCTACAAATGGTACACACCTGCGCGAACTGCTTCCTCCGTTTTCAAGGTATAGTTCATATTGTTGTTATTTCTTTTAAGTTTTTCTTTTATTTTTTTAAAAATCAAGAGTGCCTGAGCTTGGTTAATTTTGGACTTGTATAACAAATCGTTTTTAATTAAAAGAAAAGAATTCTTTCCTTTTTTAAAATTAAAATTGTTTTTATTATTATTATTTATGTTTGAATTCTCTTCATTGTTCTTTGCGTACAATGTTGCATTTACATCTTCCACTTGATCATTGAAGTATTTTTTTATGTAAAAGTCACAAGTCTTTTCCACATTCTCCAACATTACCCGATGTTTGATTCTTATCGGTTTCCCATTAGATTCATTTTCATTAACATTCAACTTTGGAATACCACACCCGTTAACATCACGACAGTTAATCTTATTTGTGGCTTGTTTTCTATTTTTTCTTAATCTCTTTGCTTTCTCTATATCCGCTTCTTCTTCCTGATGAGATATTTTTTTTGCAATTTCTTCATAAGTTCCTAAATCCTAAAAGAAAAGTGAGATACAAAGGAAAAGTATGTTAAAAAAAAAAAGAACATGTAAACAGAATAGAACTAATGTTACTTCAAAAATTTCAGCACATGTGTCTAGTTTTTCCCCTGTTACTTCATACATTTAATAATTCGTAATGCTTTTCCTTATTACAAGAGAATTTTTTTATCCGTTTATTTTTTAGATTTAAGGTGAGGACACTTAAATTTCCTTCGTCATCAACTTTCAGTTCTTCAAGAGGGAGAGATGAAAAAATTGGATATGTGGAAGTTGGAGAAGTGGAAGTTGGAGAAGTGGAAGTTGGAGATGTGGAAGTTGACGAAGTGGAAGTTGGAGATGTGCAAGTCGACGAAGTGGAAGTTGGAGATGTGCAAGTAGACGAAGTGGAAGTTGGAGATGTGCAAGTCGACGAAGTGGAAGTTGGAGATGTGCAAGTCGACGAAGTGGAAGTTGGAGATGTGGGAAATGTGGGAGAAATAATACTGCACTGATGGTGAGTGTCATCAGATGTGCATCTCCCCTTAAGCCACATCTTCACACGTTGTCTTCAAGCGACATAGTCACTGCATCCTCCAAATTAAATGCTATTTTATCTCTCCACTTTCGAACTTTTATCCACCACTTTGACTTTTTTTCTCCCTTTCTTTCGTGAATCTCTAACCTGTGTAGAATTTACAACTTTTTTGACTATCATCCATATATCCTTTATATAGGATTTTTACTTTTGGCTACAGGTGAAGAAAACATGTTGAAGTGCATGTACTTAGCTTCATCATTTAAAAAGGTACAGAAAAAAAAAAAAAAAAAAAAAAAAATCATAAATTGTGCATATATACATATGTATGCATGTAGACAAGACATACACGTGCATATACAAAAACGGATCACTAACGTAGGGATTCAATAAACAAGTGCAAGAAATCGTCTTGATTGTATCAAAAATAACATACCTTTTTGACAGCGGAAGCTTTCTCATTTGTTGTAGAATTCACATTTACATGATTGACATTTTTTTTTTCTTTTCTAATTTTTGCTTTCTTAATATTATCGAACAAGAAGTTTTTCTTGTTTGCATTGACTTGTTGTTGTGTAAATGTTTTCTTTATCTGTTCTGCGACTTTCTTTTCTCGTTTGTTAATACCCTCTAACTTTTTCTTTAATATACTAAAAATTTTTTTTTTTTTTTTTTTGGAGAAGCAAGAAGGAAAATAAAAAGTATGTCTATTAAGAGTGCAAATAAGTTAGGATTTTGCACACAAACGAGGTGTAACTCTTTCGTTTTTTTGTCATAAAATTAAAATGAAGAAATTTCAAAAATGATAAAAAAAAGAAAGAATAAAACGAGAGAAAAAACGAGAGAAAAAAGAGAGGAAAAAGGTTTTTCCTTATTAAACAAAAGGTGTGTACATTTACTTATTATTTCTCTCGATCTCTTCATTTCTCAATTTAGCCAGGTACAACTTCTTGCGGTTGTTTATGCTTATTTTGGTTCTGTCAAATTGTATGGTTGGTTTTACATTTTTTAATTTCTGTTCCTCGATCTTCCTGCAGTATTCCTTCACCCTCTCCTCAACTATCTTGTTCGTTATGATGTTAAGGTTTTTCATTTTTCGCACATGTTTCTCATGCACTTCCCTCACAACAAAGCTGGGTAGCGATCGGATTGCTAATCAGTCAGTCGAGCGATCAGTCAGTCCAGTGATCAGTCAGTCCAGTGATCAGTCAGTCCAGTGATCAGTCAATCGAGCGATCAGCCAATCGAACGATCAGACAGTCGGTTGGTCATTTCTACTAGTACACTGTGCCTAGCAGTTTTAACCCCTTGACTAGTGAATGGCTTGCCAAGCTAAGGATTTCCCAGGATTGCCATTACTGTTCACTTGAGGGAGAGGGTGAGAGAAGAGAATGCATAACAAAAACTTCTCAATCTGCGAATGAATTTGGCGCTAGATCAAGCGTTGGAAAAAAGTGTACTCCTTTTCAGACACACACACACACACACACACAAAAAAAAAAAAAAAAGGGACAGAAAAGAGCAAAAAAGAGCAAAAAAGAGCAAAAAAGTGCAAAAAAGAGAAAGAACAGAAAAAAGAAAAAAACAAAAATGCTGGATGCAAAGTAATGAGTACAGGATGTAAAGTGGTGAATGTAAAAAAGAATGTCCAATTTTTAAAAGTAAAAAAGTGCCCCCGTCAAACTTAGAAAATCAATTCATCCGCACTCCTAATGTTGATTTCTAGGCCTGTAAGAAAATGGGCATCATTTTGTGAGGAAAAAAAAAAAAAAATACACATAGGGTAAAAAAAATGTACATAGAAAGAAAAAAAAAAAAAAAAAAAAAAAAAAAAAAAAAAAAAAAAAATTAAGAAAAAAAAAAAAAAAAAAAACCAAAGAAAAAAAAAATAAAAAAAAAAAAAAAAAAAAAAAAAAAAAAAAAAAATGAAAAATTCCAAAAAAATTGGTTGAATTTTAACCTTTAAAAAACAAATATCCCTAAATTTATTCCTAAAAAAAAAAAAAAAAAAAAAAAAAAAAAAAAAAAAAAGACAAAAATGTAATAGTGTGCACTCAATGATTTCTCACACATGAGCATTCGATTGGATTCAAGTGCATTTCAATTGATACATACCAAAACATCTTCTCGTGAGATTGTGCTTGAATTATTAAGAACCCTAGGCGCAGTCCCTTCAGGTTAGTGATGAGTAAAAGAGGGAAGAGGAGGAGGAGGAAGAAGAAAAAAAAAAAAAAAAAAAAAAAGAAATGTGAAAAATGAAGTAGAGGGATTCTAAACATGGAAAGAACTTTTGTACAAATATGTTCATACAATTGGATGAATGTTTTAAGAAGTTCTTATTCGATTTATTAAAAATAATAAAAAATACAAAAAAAAACATTCTACATGTTTTTATTTCACATCTGTCATGAGCTTCACATCTATAATGAGGTGTGCTATTCTTTTTCCTCTAACTTGGATTTCTTCAGGTTTACAAAAATCCATGGAAAATGTATCAAACTGAATTCGATCCATTGGCTTTATAACTATTGGGTGGCCTCTCGTGTGGATGAACCTAGTGAAGAGGATACAAGTGGGGTGAAAAATAATCGTGCAAAAATGGTGCAAAAATGGTGCAAAAATGGCGCAAAATTGGTGGAAATATGGAAAATATGTAAGAGAAATAGGTCAGAGAAATGGCTTAAAGAGCAGAGTACAAAAAGGAACAGAAATTCAAGATAAGGGAAATTTTTGAAGAAAAGTATAAAACAACAACAAAAAGTAGGAATACACACAAGCACACACTAATTTTTATGTACGTGTTGATTCACCATGCCAATCCAAAGTACAATTTTCTCCATGTGAAATTCAAATACTTGTGTTCATACTCTGCTGATTTAAAATCGAATAACAGAAAATCTAAAATTTTTCTTCTGATGAAGTGAAACTTTCCATCTATATCACCCATCCTTATTTGGTTTATGTACATGCCTTCAACGATTGAAAAGTGTGCATACGGAGGTGGTGTGGCCGAGAAATGGAATGCATATGCATGAAAACTGCTTATTCTTCAACTAGTTGTTCTTTCTTATATATATATATATATATATATATATATGTATGTATATATTTTTTTCCCAATTTTTGTGATATACAACTGTGCTTCTTACCTAAGGGCATACCATGCCAATCAGCAGGCCACGTATCATCGCCTTTGAATTGGAAAAGAAGAAAGGAAGAAAGTGGTCGGTGGTAAATAAGCGCATAGATGAGAAAGGAATCACATGCATCTGGCTATACATCTAGCTATACATCTGGCTATACATCTGGCTATACATCTGGCTATACATCTGGCTACAAATTTAGCCACAAATTTAAGCGTGAAAATGGCAAAAACCCACTTGGAACAACGAATGAGGGGTCTACCACATTGAAATCAATGATGTCCAATTTCTGATTTCCTTGGCTAGTCCTAAATTCTTCGTATCTCTCTTTGTTTAAATCTAAATACAAATCCTTAAAAAAAAAAAAAAAAAAAAAAAGACAATTGCTTTAAAATCCAATTTTCAGCTAATCCTCATTTGAACAAAAAAATGCACGTGCATCTTCTGTTATTTCATTGTCCTACATTAAAAAATACAAGAGCTTCAATGAAGTCAGCAAAGGACCTGCACAAAAGTGTGAAGAAGTGGAGATGACGATTGACATGGGAAGGAGAGAAGAAGAAAATAAAAAAAAAATAAAATAAAAAAATAAAATAAAAAAAAAAAATAAAAATAAAAAATAAAAAAAAATAATAAAAAAATAAAAAAAAAGTCATACCATTTATCGAAATCATATGAATGGGCACCTTCCGTTTCCTTCCTCGTATACAACATGAATTTTTTTTCTTTTGAGTTTATCTCTAAAAAATTGATGTGAATATTTGTTTGGAAATGGAACAAGAACATATATGTGTCTGTCTCAACTTGCAAGTGAAATATGCTCTACGAAGGTACAGGAGAATTATCTCATGAAAGAATTTTCAAGATATACCATTCGAAAGAGGCAATTTCCTATTAATAAAAATGTCATATTCTACCCCATGGGTCCTCTTATATTTCATAATGAAGTCAATGTAATCATCAACATCCTTGTCGTTCATGTTGTTGTAAATGTGATCATAATAATAATTATAATTGAAATTGAATATTTGATCTTTTTTTAGATTCATCAGTATTTGTTTTAGGATTCCCTTTTTCCTTATGGCTTTATTTGAATATCTTGGAAGAACATTCTATTGTTCATTGGTTATGTAAAAGAAAGGTTTATCCAAAAGGGGTACAGAAATTTTCTTTCAGCATATAAATACATATATATATGTACATACATATATCGGTTCAGTATATTTAGACATACATACTCAATTAATTAATGTATGCTGAAACATTGCTTATTATAAACAAGAGTTATATTCTATTCCAAGTGTTGCACTCAGAGGGTAAAGGTGATATGGGCGTTAGAAAAAAAAATAAGGAGTTTCTCCCTTCTGTCCTCTTTTCCTCCTTTCATTTTTTTTTTTTTTTTTTTTTTTCATACCTGTTGAGTTATTTTTGGTATGAACTTGTATGATGCCAGAAAATCCTTCACGTTTTCGTTCTCTTTTTCTACGAAAAGGGGTAAGAGAAATGGAGACGAAAAAAAAAAAAAAAAAAAAAAAAAAAAAAAAAAAGAGACATCTAGAGATGATTTTTTTTAATTAAATATTTCATTCCATTTCACAACCCAGAAAAGAACTCATCTGGATACGTACCCTTTGTACTTTTGATATATGGAGAGAAAAGTTCCTTTCGGACTTCTTGTCTTTCATCATAATCATAATGAACATTTTCCTCAGCTATGGGTATGGGTAGAGGAGGAAGAGAAAAAAAAAAAAAAAAAAAAGAATGTCAGATAATTAGATGATTGCATAAAGAGAAGATATAGTTTACATGCATAAGCGGAGAAATGCAAACCAATAAAGATTTCACTGTCTCTCGTGCTTCATATGTTTGGTTGCACTTCTTCCCTATTGGCACACACAAAAATTTTGTGTACTTGACAAATTAGACATGGTTGTTATTTCTGATTCTCCCTTTTCGAAGTCTTCTATTTCTTCTGGACCTGCAGAAAAAAAAAAAAAAAAAAAAAAAAAAAATGAACATGAGAATGAGAATGAACATGAACACGAGAATGTATGTAGGATGGGGAGAGAGGGAAGCGTGTGCATTTGTCTCTCTCTATCTTGGTGTCCATCACAATTTCGATGTGCTAAGTTCACAATGAGGCACTGGCACCTGGGAAGGGAATTTTCCTTCGCAGGAGCTACCTGGACTCGTTTACTTACTAAATAAGTCAGCCAACGGAAAATTCATCTTTTTTAATACAATGTAAATGTACTTTTTTTTCTTTTCGCTCTTTTCATTTTTAAATTCTTGTAATTTCTTCCATAGCTTGAAGTTTTTTAAATCTGTCGAGTGGAGAAGCCGATGAAGAAGTGAGTTAGAGAGGCGTATGCACAGTGGAGAAGCTAACAAAACTTCAAGTTTTTCTTTTGTTATGATCTTTCCTATTTTTTATACATGCTCACTTTCGTTTTCCTCCGATTTCAGAATGTAGTTCTCTGGGACGAACAGATTGTTGTGTTTTTTCTTCGAGTGACAAAAAAAAAAAAAAAAAAGTTAAGTGAACGGTGGAAAAAAATAATTTATGGGGATAAAAGCTAAGGGGCGAGAATAAAAGTATACCATTACATGTGTCTATTTAATGTATGTAATACAGCTGAAGAACTAATGTGAAAAGAAAATTTGTTCATACTTGGAATTCCATGAGGGCTAACACGACTAAGTTTATGTTAGAAATGTCTTTTTGGGTGACAACTGTGTTGGGAGGGGGAGAGGTGGGGAAGGAGGACGAAAAAAAATTGTAAAATAAAAATATGCATAAAAGTATGCATAAAAATAGGCGTAAAAATGGGCGTAAAAATGTATAAAGTTAAAAAGCTAAACAAAAACAAAAAAAAAAAAAAAAGCAGTGAATCTGTATGTAGAAGTAATCTTAAGACTAATACTCCTCCACTGCTCATTTTACATACTCATTGTAACATTGTCAACAGAATATACACATGCACATAACCACAACAAGTATGTGTCTTCGTTGTGGAACATTTTTTTTTTTTTTTTTTTTTTTTTTTTTTTTTTTTTTTCTTCCCCTCCTCCTTTTCTTCTTATTTGTCCAATTCTATTTTACCATCTTCAAATTTTATAATTCTATTCCTGGCTCTCACTCGTTTTTTCCTTTTAGCTACAGCATATTTGGCGTTATAAGAATTGTGTGTTATTATGTAAGGTAAAACAGGTAAGTCGATTTTGGAATGGACTATTTCGATATTTCTTAACGAGATATACAGTAAAGTGAGTGGAATGATAATGAACATTATTCGATTGAGAGATGAAGAGAGTTAAAAAAAAAAAAAAAGAGACACACAGAAAAGGATGGGAGGATAATATATAAATATCACAACTTTTTCACATTGTGTAAAATAATAGCAAATTGATGGGACAACACAAATGATCACAAAAACAGATAGGAGGTAAATACAAAATGTGAAATAAAAAAATATCTTAGTGGCTACACAATCTTTTCTCTTAATAAGCCACAGAAAAAATATGTGGAAATGAAAACATTCTTTTTTTTTTTTTTTTTTGCATATACATATATATACACATGTATAAGCCTATTTTTTCGAAATATACAAAAGGTGATATAAATGTTGGCTTCATTTGTTTTTCTGTCAGTCGGGCATGGTCGCTGGCCCGGGTTTAAACAAGTGATAAAAATTGGAAATGGGGGGACAGGATGTTCCTCAAATTATTTTATTTTTTTTTAATTTTTTTTGTTCTACCATTTTGCCATTTTTTACTCCATTATTTTCTCATTTTTTACTCCATTATTTTCTCATTTTTTACTCCATTATTTTGCCATTTTTTACTCCATTATTTTGCCATTTTTTACTCCATTATTTTGCCATTTTTTACTCCATTATTTTGCCATTTTTTACTGCATTATTTTGCCATTTTTTGTTTTCTTCCCGACTTATTTTACTTCTGATTAATTTGCTATTCTGATGCTAGTTGTGTAATATTTTTCATTTTATTTTTCCCTCTTCGTAATCTTCAATGTATTCTACTAAAGAAAACATTTGGTGACAACTCAGCTCACTGTTGTCACCATACTTGAACCCTGTTTAATGATTTTTGTGTGAAGTGTGATGGCGCTCCTTCTTGCTAATTGTCAATCACATGTTTGCAATTTCATTTGTTTCTCTCCCATCTTTTTTCTAAAATGCACTGACGTGACACCACAATGTTACAACTAAGATGCACATATCTAATTTGGTGATTTTTTTCGTGTACCTCTTTATGCAGAATGGAGTAAATTGCACATATAAATGTCGTCTTATTCGTGACAATCGTTTATTTTTGAATCAGACAGCAAGGGGATCAAATTTTACCTTTTGTATGAACAGAGCCAAAAAGGCAGGGAAATTATCAAACGGGGTCTCTCCAAACGGGGTCTCTCCAAACGGGGTCTCTCCAAACAGAGTCTCTCCAAACGGGGTCTCGCCAAATGGGGTCCTGTTCAAACTTAACTTGCGAAGGGGAAACCTAAACGAGGAAAAAATTCAAGCGTTGCATTATTCCACTTTTAGGAAAAAGGCAAGTGCTGTTTATCTTTGGGGGAGGTTCAAAAATGGATTCGATTTCTTTGGCTTCTTCAAAAGTTCCCACGATGAGGTTAGATGGATGAGTGGAACCTCGACCATATGCGTCTGTGCATGAATCTGCTTCTGCATCTGTGCATGAATCTGCTTCTGCATCTGTGCATGAATCTGCTTCTGCATCTGTGCATGTATCTGCTTCTGCATCTGTGCATGTATCTGCTTCTGCATTTGTGCATGTATCTGCTTCTGCATCTGTGCATGTATCTGCTTCTGCATTTGTGCATGTATCTGCTTCTGCATCTGTGCATGTATCTGCTTCTGCATCTGTGTATGCGTGTGTAGGGGATCATACATAGCACACTGAAGTGAAAGCGCGGGGATTACACACGAACCACAGACAAATCTTGCACATAAAGGAGCATGCACGTGGGCATATGTACAAGCATGCGTAAATATATATACATATATATAATTTTTTTTGTGTTTTTTTTTTTTTTTTTTTTAACTCCCTTTTTGAAGAAATTCTGCGAGAACATCACCTCAAACTTAAGTGACATAACAAAAGTGAAGCAAGTGATTCAACTTCACTCAGATAAAAAAATTTTGGAACCAGGAATCATGAAAAAGATTCTACTTCATGTCGTGCATTCAACCATCAACTTTAAAGTGATAAACTCTTGTTCCTACCTCATTCAGCATTTCAAAGTGAGCAAGGATCAGGTAAGTGTTTCTTCCTCTCCCCAGCAGTGCCCTGGCCATCAGCCTCCCCTTGTCTTTGCTTCAGCATTGTACCGATACAGCATTGCACCAATACAGCACTGCATCCACAATCACTTGTCGCTCCTCAGATCTGCTCCTTGATGAATGAGATAAGCAACGAAGTGAAGGATCGAAAACAAGCAGAAAATTTCCTAGGTCTCCATATTTTCTTTTTGAAGGATGAAAATGTCTCGGTAATTTTTTTTTTGAAGAAAAGACTCTACCACGCTTGCACCACCCAAAAAAGAGTGCACACGTGCATATGCATATATACATAAGTATACATATACATAAGTATACATATATATACGTATCTACTTATACATATATACTTATATGTAAAGGCACCTAACTACTTTCCTTTTTGCAGCTCTTTTCTATGATGCACATTATTGACTTTTTCAGATGCAAACAGAAACTAATGGAGGTCATCTGCAGCATTAAAAGTTAGTGAACGAGATTATTAAACTGTGATAATTTTTTTTTTTTTTTTCCCCTCCTTATTACCCACCACATTTGAATGCATTTTTTTGTTTCTTCATGGTGGACATGAGACGGTCAAATGAATGAAATGTAAAAAAGGAAAAAAAAGAAAAAAAAGAAAAAGAAAGTTTCTGAACACCTATTTTTTTTTTTTGACAACACACACAGACAAGTGTGGCATTCCCCACTCTCCTTTTTTTTTTTTTTTTTTTTTTTTTTTTTTTCTTTTAACAGAAAAAATTTACGAGCAATTTGTGAATGATCTTATAAGAAGAAAAGTTGAAAGATATAAACTTTTTTGCGAACAAAAAAAAATTCAGTTTCATTTAAGAGATGCATTAAACAAAGTAGATCTATATGAAAAGGAAGATGCTTATTTCAGTTATGATTATGGGGAAGTAAAAAATATCTTTAATAAAAAATTGACAACTGAAAAAGGAAGAGAATTTCAAGGTACTGATATGGTAGAATATTTAAGAGAAAGTAGTAATGACAGAGGAGGGAACAACCTCCAATGTGATTCTGACAGTGGTACCTCTCCAAGTGCAGAAGCCGAGGACAATGAAAATTTGATGGAACTGAAGAAAACTTATGAAGAGATACAATCATTTAATGAATCCATAATTGAACATCTAGAACCGAATCAGCACTTGTTCTATTTTGATGAAAACTATTCTGATTTGAAAATAAACGAGGCAGATGTCAAAGGTAAGAACCACAGCGAAGAAGGCATGGGAAAACATGAACATGAACAAGGTCAAGAGGAGGTAGGACTAAAAGAGGGAGAAATGGAAGAAGGGGAAGAAGAGGGAGAAGAGGGAGAAGAAGACATTGAGTCGATCCAAAAAAGGGTAGACAAATATATACACGAATATATAAGAGATAACAATATGACAATGGAACAATTTTCTAATGAATTTGTGGAGCAAGCCGATTTGAATTTTAAAATGTTCCTTAAAAATGTGCGCCTTGAAAATAAGCAAAACGAGATTGGTGGAGTTGCACATGGAGAAAACTCATTTGAGGAGAATTCCCATGGATGGATTTCTAAAGGAGCTGTAAAATCGTGCCTCCAGAATGATGAAATAACAAATTTCAAATTACGCAAATTGCATGAAGATAACAAAGAAGATGTGCAATTCCACCTAACCAACGACGTGTTGTATGAACGTCTGAGAAAAAAAATGCTTTATTACCTTCAAAAGATTGAATACTTGAAATTTAAATATCAGTATGATATTATTAATGAAAAATATCCTATAAATAAAAATGAAAAAACTGTTCTGGATGTTTTGAAATATGGATATAAAATAGTTGTATCTCCGGACGTAGACAATTCTGTATTCCATCAGAATCAGCACATGTATGGAACTGCATCTTCCAGCACTGGTTTCGAAATGGAAGATCCTCCTCGACACGAGGAACAATCACAAGGATCCACTACTCAACAGATGGAATCCACTCTCTGGCATGGAAGTAGGACCTGGAGCAGAAAAGTGAAGCTGCAAATTGGAGTGACAAATTGGAGTGACAAATTGGAGTGACAAATTGGAGTGACAAATTGGAGTGACAAATTGGAGTGGCAAATTGGAGTGGTAAATTGGAGTCGTAAATTGGAGCTCCATTTTCTCACATATCCCCCTAAGTGACATCAGACGTGACTATATATAGAGACGATTTTTCAGCACTGCAAATGATAACTTTGTGTCTACGCATGTCCTATGTGAAAACATAAAGTGGCACTATATATATATATATATATATATATATATATATATATATGCATGAACCACCCCGATAGGCACATTTACACATGCACCCGTATGTGCATTATCCCGTTTTACCTCCAAACTTTACAGGAAATTATTACGATTTCAAGTGCCGAAAATGTAATTATCATATTTTCAACACAAGTACGTTATGCCACAGCACATACAAAAAATTGCTTCATTTTAGCCGCCTTTTCGAGCTCATGATTGTTTTTTGTCTCCGTGTGCATATGCACGCGTTCACCATTTCCCTACTTCACCATTTCCCTACTTCATCACGTCCCTACTTCATCACGTCCCTACTTCATCACGTCCCTACTTCATCACGTCCCTACGTCATCACGTCCCTACTTCATCACGTCCCTACGTCATCACGTCCCTACGTCATCACGTCCCTACTTCACCATGTCCCTACGTCATCACGTCCCTACGTCATCACGTCCCTACTTCACCACTTCCAAACTTCCCTACCTTGTCAGGCGGAGCAAAGGAATTTCCAGAGAAGGTAATATCATGCCCCCAGTGTCAGACGAAGTGTTGAATCGGCCCAGAGTACACAGATCGATCATCCCCTCTCTTCAGATTTGAATATGTTAATTAACGAACCCTCTTTTGCCAAGTGGGTTCTATTTTTAGACATTTCCATGGTTCACACGAGCCGAGCCCACTTTTTGCACTTAACTATTGCAGTATATACAAATATCGACACATGGTGCAAACGCTGCTATACAACTTAAAAAAATAGAATGACATGCTTGGATCAGAAAATATGTCAAAGGAATGAACAGACGAAAAGGTAGTAGACTGATAAATCAAGAAAAAAGTAACATATGTATAGGCACATAAAAAGTAAACTAAAGAAAAGCAAGAAAACCAATTATGGTAAGCTAGGTATGCAATATTTATCAAAAAGTGTGAGGAATATTTTTTGGAAAAAATCAAAAAATTTAACTTATGAAATAAATAATTTAAATAGTAATTTTTGTTAAAATGGTTTTTATTATATATGTACGTAAATATCTCTAGACACTTTTTTATTCTTTGACTGTGTAGAAAAAGTAAAAGGTGGATATCATTTTTGTAGTAAAATTGATTGATGGATTCTTTACTCGAGTTCTTTTGTATATGATCTGATGATCTCTTATCCTGGTATTTATGCGACAATATCATATCTTCCAAACGGTGCAAGTATCGACGGACCCCATTTTTATATAACATATTGTCATTTTCATTCAGGTAATTATACCTATAAAAAACTTGATTACTGTAGAGCATCAAAATGTGATATGCTTCATTTCGAGTATCAACAGTGTATGCAAAGGAGAGTATACTATTTAAATTTCCCACCATGGATGAATAAATATCATGGAATTTTTTTATATCTATATCCTTTTCTCTGGATTTGTTCAAGTGATTGTTTATTTTTTTTACATTTTTTTCGTGAATTATTTTATAATACTTGTTCGTTATGGCTTCGTCAAAGTTAACAATGTAGTAATTTATCATTCTCTTTACCCTAAACAGTTTATCATCCATATAATTTGTAACTCGTTCCTTGTGTCCACGTGCTTTGCTTTTCCATTTAGTGATGAAGCCAAAGCCAAAGCGGAAGCCTCTTCCTCTGCCATTGCTTTTGTCACTGCTTTTGCCACTACATCTGCCTCTAGCCGGGTCCAATTCTGCACTGAACTTCAAACTGTTTTCACCTCTCTTAACCGGCGAGCTTGGAATCGAATCTCTACCATTTTCTCCATAAGAATGCTTAAATTGATTCTTCCTCCATGGATTCTCTAATGTAGGGCCAGGCAATCCTTCCTTTGGTCTGGTACTACTACTATATGGACGAAAGAAAAAACTTAGCTTCTTTTTGTCTTCATTTTTTCGAACCCTTTTCAGAAAATTTAGCTTCAAATTGTTTATCGCATCTGCTGTGTTCATATATATTATTTTATTTTCCTTTTCAAATTTTTCTTTTTTTTCTAATAAGTATAAATTTTTTTTAATACTTAAAAGTTTAATCGAACATTCAAATAATAGACGTAAGTACAATACTAGATATAGATCGTTTAAAATTTTTATGTCTTTTTCCATATGGTTCTTATTTTCTCCATGATCATACAAGTAAGTTTGTTTTCCATTCGCCCTCTCCTTGTTATTCTCACAACTCGTAGTAGTTTCTCTCCTCTTTGTTGTCATTTTTGTGTCATCTGTTGCGTCCCTTTTTATGTAATAATTGCTGCTCTCATTTGTACTTTGCTGTTCCGTGTCCATCGTTTTTCCTCTCTTCACATATTTCTTTGAATTGAGAAAATTTGGTGGGATAAGCGAATTCGTTTTTTTCTTTTCCTCCCCGACGTGGAGCTCCTTCTGGATTGGGGTTCTCTCCTTATCTGCATGGTTACCAGTTTGGCTATTCGTTTGGTCATTCATCTGTTTCTTCATCTGTTTCTTCATCTGTTTCTTCATCTGCTCCTTCTTCTGCTCCTTCTTCTGCTCCTTCTTCTGCTCCTTCTTCTGCACATTCGCATGGGCACTACCCGCAGTGTCAACACAAAACAGGTATCTATCTTCGTCACCCACAGCAGTGCACCCTCTCTCAGTGTCGTTATTCCCAGTGAAAAAGGTGCATAAATAATCAATGAAATTTCTTTTTCTACTCATTCCATTTAAAGTCTCAAAATGTGAATTGTTCAAAAGAATTTGGCGATAATTCTTATAGCATATATACTTCAATATATTAATCATGTAGAAATTCACATAAATGTTTGTATTCGTGTTCAGACAAATTCTATTTACATTATCATATGCTTGATTGAGTAGATGTAAAAAATTGATGCTTATTTGGTCATGCTGACGGAGACGTATTTTACTACCACTTAGGATGTCATCATTTATCTTCTCATATTTGTGTATTCCATACTTTTCATATATGTTTCCTCTGCCTCTTACCATGTTCTGTCTATTCTCATGTGTATTCTTTTGATTGATTTTTCCAATACATGTCTCGTTTGTTAATTCATTTGAAGTAGTCCTCTTATACACTCTCATGTATGAGCCTCCCAATTCATTTAATCTCTCAGTGTTCATTTCATGTGGTAATTCTCCTCCCCAAATAATACGCATTATCCAGTGTGCCAACAAACGTCTGATATTATATCTACGTTCTTTTCTTCTATGTTCTTTAAATTCCTTCTCATTATAAAGCCTGGTATTTAAATTGACAAAATATTGAGATAGTTGACGAAGAATGTGTAAACTTAACTGTGGTGAAATGACAGCATACTTAATACTTCTATCCAAAACCAGTTCGTAAAAATATAATTTATTGAATAGATTTTTTTCATTATACATAATAAAATCATAATTACATTTTTGTTCACTTTCTCCCCATTTAGTCCCTCTGTCATGATGACTTTTTTGTTTTGTCTTCAACTTATACTTGACATAAATATTTTTAAGTATTCTATTTTGGTAAATATAATTATCATATATGTGTAATATAATTAATGGTATATAAGAGAGTGCATTATTTATTTTTAACTTTTTTATTTTTTCTATATCGTCATTATTTCTGATGTGTTCAAATTCGTTTTTCCTTCTGCTTCTATGATACAGACAGTAACTTGGTCCTAATGCTCCGAGAATCCAATAGAGCAGCTTCTTTCCTTTTCTCTTTGGTTCCATTACTATTCTTCCACTTTTCCATTCGTCTATCTCTCTCTCTCACTCTCTTTTTTTTTTTTTTTTTTTTTCGCCTCAGTATAATTTAATTCTTGTGTCTGCATACCAGTCTCTTACCTTTACGATTTGTGTTTTGTTTTCTCTATGCCTTGTCTTCTATATAGCACACTAACATCATAATGTGGTTCGTGTCTACCAAGCACCATTATCAGCACCACCTCGGTTCTTCTCTTGGTGCAGTTTATTTTGTTCAGTTTATTTTGTTAAATCTTTTTCGTGCCGTCTTTTTTGCTAAGCCCTTTTTGTGCCGTCTTTTTTGCTAAGCCCTCTTTGTGACGTCTTTTTTGCTAAGCCCTCTTTGTGACGTCTTTTTTGCTAAGCCCTGTTTTCGAATTGACTGCATATCCCTCGAAATGACACACCCTTTTTCATTTCTCTATTCGGATTACCAAATCCGCATGAAAATGAAAATTTAAAAAAAGTTGTAAAAGCGAGCTACGTGAGGGAGAAATGCAAAATTCTAGAAATGTTTGTTTTTCCTCTTTTTTTTTCTTTTTTTCTTTCTTCTTTTGTCAAATTTGCGTGATAATATGAATGTTTATGCATATGATCCGATTTTCACTTGGAATTTATCAACCAAATAGTTCATATAAGATTAGTCACAAATGATCATATGTAGATTGGTACATATGATAAAATAACAAAAATTGGTATCATGGTTGTGACACAAAAATTTTTACACTTTTTATAGTATATCACATCAGAGTGGGACAAAAATGTCAATTTTTTTTTATTTTTTTATATTTTTTTTTTTTTATTTTGTGTTTTTTCAAAACAAAATGCACTTATCTTTCCTGCATTTTACGCAATAGTTCTATAACTTCATGAATATACATAATTTTCAATTTGCTTTTTTTTAAAAAAAAAAAAAAAAAAAAAAAGTTTTCAGTGATCCTCTTTCTACAAATGGGTAATTTTCCCCGAAATTTCTGCGAGCATGTATTTGTGTACATATATATATGTATATATTTATTGTACCTTTGCGGACATTATCTTTTTAATTTTTTTTAGTTCCACGCATGGAAATTTCCTTTTTCTTCAATTCTACACGTGGAAATTTTCCTATTTCTTCAATTCTACACGTGGAAAACTCCTTTTTCTTCAATTCTACACGTGGAAATTTCCTTTTTCTTCAATTCTACAAGTGGAAAACTCCTTTTTCTTTTTTTAAATCTCTTAATTGTATACTGCATATTTTATCTTTTTTTTTTCTTTTTTTTCACTTTTCCCAAAAACTGAATTACCAGCGTGTCCCACAAAAATTTAGCAACTTCGCGTTTGAGCGCCAAACGTTTTACCCTTTTTCCATTTTATTTGTGACAATGAAAAATGGAGAATCTTAAAATGTGCCTAAATCTTCCGTCTACACAATTCTGCTTTTCTATGAAAAATGTTTTTAAAGGCGTTTTCTATTGTAACCATTAATTGGGGGATGGCCTCTTAACGAGACCTGGGGAAAATTATCACACCTATGTACATATGTACATGTATATATATACATATATGTGTGTATATACCTACATATATGTACATCCATCCTTCCTACACACCTACACACACAGTGCTTGCATGTGCCTTTTTTCGGATGTTCTTATGTGACCATTATTTCACAAACGTTTCCATAGTCAAACTATCCAATAATTAAAAATAGAAAAAGAAATCACTTGAACACACCTTTGCTGCATGCAACCATATGGTTCGAAGAATGAATAAGAAAGGGTCTTGGGGAAAAGTAGCACAAAAATGAAATAGGGGGCTTATTTACTTTTATCACTGGATTGCTTTCCCACTTTACCGTTATAATTACACGCAATATTCGTGTAATTTCTCATCCTTCCGTGTATATCTTCACTTTTAATATTACCACACCAAGTTACACTAGAAGGCCTTTCTGAAAGGGGTAATGTATATCAATTGTCTTCCTTGAAAGGATTGGCCAAAAAAAAAAAAAAAAAAATAGCAAATTAGATAAGCAAGTAAGGAGATAAAGAACTAAACTGATAAACAGAAAAATAGCTAATGCAACAACGGTAAAATCGGGGAAAAGGGATGTTTAAAGGTTCGTTTAAGGTTAAATTTTCAACTTTTTTTTTTTTTTTTTTTTTTTTTTTTTTTCATCCACGCTAGGAACAGCATGGTATCATGTGGGGGCTTATTATATGTATACACTTATGTGCATATAGGCATATCACTTTTTTGATACATACTTTTCACTCTCCCAGTTGTGTTAACCATTGTAAACCTCAAAGGGTGCAGATAATAAACATACCTAAAGTACACCGATAATGCAAACCTGTTTGTGTACGTGGGCTTTTTTTTTTTTTTTTTTTTTTTTTTTTTTAATTTTTTTTTTTTTTTTTTTTTTTTTTTTTTTTTTTTTTACTCTAAGATGTTCGTAAATGCATAGGTTATATATGTACTGTTTACATATATAAAAAACTGTCACAATTGTATACACTGTTTACTTTATTTTAATAGGTATTATTTATCTTTTTTCAACATTATTAAATTATGAATGGGAGGTACATTATCCTATGGACTTCTGCAAGACCTTGCGCGATAGCTTCACCCCTCTACGAAATTTTCTATACATGTGCATATATATATTTGGCTATACATGTGATAATGATAATGATAATATATATATTATACTCGTTCATACACGGATAGCATATGTGCTGCATACATAGGTATTGTTCTCTCCCTAACGTAAGAAAGTTTAGAAAAAAAAAAAAAAAATCAGCTTATAAGATTTAAGAATACACTTTTCCATCATATCTATTTTTTTTTTTTTTTTTTAGAATTTTCAAATTAATTTTTCTAATCTTTCCTCTGTAATATTGTTACCAATTTTCCTATTAAAGTGTAATTCTTTTTTTTTTTTTTCTTTTTTTTTTTTTTTTTATGATAAAAATGCTTTTTTTTTGTTTTTTTTTTATTTACACCTTGATTTTGCAAAATGTTGTCTTATCAAAACTAAACTTTCAAAATGAGCAACTAGCAACATCCTTTTTCGAGGCTAATAAAAATTATCATGTAACTAAGGAGTAAGTAGGAGCCTTATTCTAAAAACCAAATCTTAGTTCATCATAAAAATTCCACACAAGAGATTATATGTTATAATCTTATATTACCTATGCCTCTCAAATGAACATAACAACATAAAAACACAAACATGTACTTGCACACAAGTGTAAACGAAAATTCATTTTCATTTCTCCCCTATATTTTTTCCACCTCTAAGAGACATAATTGATGGTATAGAAAAATGCTGGTTCAACGTGACAAATTATCTGATTAACCAGTCAATAAAACAAGGTTAGTGGTTAGAAGTGCTTAAAAAAGCAGCAAAAAGGAAAGAATGGACAAGCAATGAGAGGAAAAGCAATGAGAGGAAAAGCAATGAGAGGAAAAGCAATGAGGGGAGAAGCAATGGGAGGAGAAGCAATGAGGGGAGAAGCAAATGTATCCCCTGCGAGGAATTTATGCATTCCCTTGAATGGGTATACGGATATACATTTTCATGTTAAATACACACATTTGTAACTTTATGCGAGTTTAGAAAAATGAAATTTACCCTTTTTTTTTTTTTTTTTTTTTTGTTTTCCTTATTTTACTCTCACCGCTTCCTTTTGAAGAAAAAGACTTCAGCAATGACGTCAAAATGACCGTAAATTCCATGAAGCAGAAACTAGATCAACTGATAACTGTTTCCTACTCCATTAAAAAAATAGACACGTTAAAAGCTAAAGATGTGACAATTATGCGACTTTAAAAGGGAGCGTAGCGAAATGCATAAATTTCATTTCACTAAATACTGCCTAATAAAATGATGTTACACCAAGTGTTTCTTCATAAAGTTCATGTCATAAAATCTTATTCTTTTAACAGGGTAAATGCATCATTTCAATGGGCCCAATCACCAGAACATATTTTCCTGAATATTAAATTTTCGCACAGATGGAGCTCTCCAGGTTTTTTTTTTTTTTTTTTTTTTTTTTCGCTTTAATCACCTTGCTTGTACAGGAGAAAAGGCCATGTTTTGTGAAGTTTTACGAAGTAAACAGCTATTTTAAGTGCAACATGTTAGTTTTTTTTTTTTTTTTTTTTTTTTTTTTTTTTCCCTGTTCAGGTGCCCTAAAAGTGAAAGACGAACAAGTGATTTCTAAAAAAAACATTTTTTCCTTTTCTGCCATGAGTAACGACAGCAATTCAGTGACCAAAAAATACATCGTTGATCTTACTTTGCTTCATGACATAATCGAATCGGTAAAATTTAAAAAGGAAAAACTGTCCTCGTAGAATGGTGCCATGTTGGCATGTGTGTAATTGTGTGTATGTATACACTCAAAATTTTTAAGTCAAGAATCCTGTGTGTTTACCAACTTGCGCACATTCACCATATTGTTCCTTTTGTTTGTATATATAAATCCATGTAGGAGACAAAATACAATTTTGCGTCCGTTGGAAAGGTCGTTGTTACTTTGAAAAAGAAGCAGAAACAAATTTGGAGCCGATTGTTATCCTCGAGGGATAAAAATCCGAACATGCAAGTCTGGTGGGACATGAAGGAAAAGTAAGAAAAAAAAAAAAAAAAAGACGAGTAGCAAAATTCACGTGTTGATCCGAGCCCATTTACACGTCTACCGAGCTACCAGTTCTATTTAACTGTTAAACCAGCATAAAATTTGTCACATACACACACACACCTAAACACTATAATGTAACATGCCATTTGCATGATTACCTCTGATCTTTTAGATACCACGACAGCGTTCAGTCATTTTTAAAAGAAGAGGAAGAAAAAAAAAAAAAAGAAACTAAGAATGGAAATAAGGAAACAGAGACCATACACAATGACAAAAACGAAATGAATGAAAATGAGTTTGGAGAAAATAAAGATGTACAAAACGGAGTACTCAAGGACGACATGTCATTGGGTGAATCAAAAAAAAAGAACTCGAAATATATCAAAGATGAAGAATTGTGACCAAAACATTTAATATATAATTTGTAAGAGAGTTTTCTTTTTTTTTTTTTTTATCAAGTTACACACACAAACCGTATGTATAATGTGTGTTTGCATGTACATACATACACACCACATACTAAAAAATTTTTTTTTTTTTTTTTTTTTTTTAATTATCATTTTTGCAAAAAAACTACTTTTAAAATTGATTGTGCATATATGTTTATGCATGTACAATTGTGGATCAATTATATGTGTATAAAAAAACAAATCAAATAGTAAATATGAATTATTATCAACTTGTCAAACACAAAAAGAATTTGCTAATCGATTGTCGTATCATCATCATACTAAGCATAGCATACATATAGTATATGTATAATTTCCGAATTACGAATTTATATCTTGTCAAATTTTGTAAATCATTAGAGCTGATTTTGATACGAAAGGAAAAAGGAAAAATCGAAACTTGAATCGGAATTTGGATGACAAAACGGAGCTGCGAAACATAGTGCAACTGAATATATGATATATATAAAGTCTATCCAGTCATTTAATTTTGTAAATTATAACTCCAATGTTTGCTATGGCCAATAATATTATTATTAAAATCAATACACATTTAAATAGAACCTTGTTATGGTATATACTTAATAACATCCTTTTTGCTCTATTCTGTTCCTCACGAGTTTCACCAGCCTACGAAAGGAAAAAATAAAATAAAAAAAAAATAGATATACAAAACGTGAACATCCAAACATATGGAAAATAAAATCCGTCAAAGAAATATAATGTGAAACACAGTCCCATTTTATATATTATATAACCCCATGTACATGTTTTATTTATTTGCAATGTGAACACTGTTTTTTTTTTTTTTTTTTTCTCCATATTACATAAAGTTTCGTTCTCAGGATGGCACTTCTCTGAGACGTGAGTTCACTCATTATTGTATATCCTGAAGGGGCAGGGGAAAAAGGGTTTAAACAGATATTGGGAGAAATGGACGAGGTGAAGGTATATCCAATAACGATGAGATAAAATTTATATTTAACCCATGTCTTCCACATCTTGGGCTCTCCTAAATTTTTGAAAAATTGGAAAAATTGGAAAAATTGGAAAAACTGGAAAAATTGGAAAAATTGGAAAAATTGGAAAAATTGACTTGCGTATGAAAACTTCTAAAAAGAGGACAAATTTTGACTTTACTACGATTTCATTTTATACCTCTCAGATTCTTTCAGGAAATTTGAACCCTCGATATACTTCCTTGTAATGTCATATTCCCTGTTGTTAACCTAGGAAAAGTATAATTAGGGGGAGAGATGAAATAACTATTTAGTTGTACTGTGACAAAATAAGCATAGTCAATTTGTTCACTCAGGAGATTAATTTTTTCTCTTTATTTCTTTTCTTTTTTTCTCTCCCTTTTTTGTGCCATACAACTTCGTCAGAATAGTAATCACTACTCATTTTTTCTAACAACTTTTTGTATTTCTTCAGGTCTGTTTTGTATTTATATATCTATCATGTGAAAAAAAAACGGATAGAAGAGGACAGGATGGGAAAGAAAATTTCATGGGTGTGCACAAAAAAAAAAAAAAAAAAAAAAAAAAAAAACATAACTGAATTATTGTTTTTTTTCCTTTTTGTCTCCTCAAGGGAGTAACAATTTCCTTACGTCATCAAAAATTTTGTGCGACCCTTTTGGTAAGCTATTCGTCTCTACTATAATTTGCTTTATCTGACAAACCAAATGATAAGATAGAAGAATAGTAATAATGAAATATAAACGGAGAGTGGTGAACAAGTCCAGCGTGTAGAATCAAGGGAAAAAAAATATGTTGTAATGTCACAGTAGTCCTTGTCAAAAAATTTGTCAAGGTTGGAATGGGCAGAACTCCTAAATAGGAAGTGCTAATTTTGTATAACTCAAACTACCGAAGCAATAAAAAAAAAAAAAAAAAAAAAAAAAAAAGTGGGTGCTTATACACACAAGTACATATATACACGTGTAAGTCAATATGTATATATATATCTGTACACATTTTTCAGCTTCAAAAATATCTTCTCGCGTTTTATTAAAATCTTCTATATCTGAAATATATTTCCAAAGAAATGTAACACATGTAGTTTTAGATGTATATAAATGTGGAACTATGTATGTTTGGGTTGTTTTATGTATTATTACATAATTTTTTTTTTTTTTTTTTTATCTTAATTTCAAACTTTGGATCTTATAAATTGATGTTTTTATTTTATGAATATAATTATTTAAATCTTTCACATATTCGTCAAAATATTCTGAGTATGTAATCATTTTTTTTTTTTTATTTAACACATTAGGTGTGGATTGTTCTTTTTTATCTACTAGTTTTGTAAAAGCACAGAACAGTCGTATATGCAAAACGTCATAAACGTTAGATGAAGAAAAAAAAAAGTTAAAACAGGGAAGCAGAAAGGAAAAAAAGGTGAAGAGATGAAAAGGCGAATAGATGAAAAGGTGAATAGATGAAAAGGTGAAAAGATGAAAAGATGAACAGCTGAAAAACAGTTTTAAGTTTTATTAATAATTTTCATTTTATTTGTTTCTCGATGATGATCCACAATTCTTCAAGTTTCATTCTTTTTTTTTTCTTTTTTTTTTTTTTTTTAATTCACAATTTAACATACCTACTTTTATTTCACGTGATTGTTTATTACTCGCGTATTTATTATATTCATTATCTACTTTATTTTTTATTTATTGATTTTTTTTTTTTTTTTACATTGTTGTCCTTCCTTTTTATACTCATCGTCTTCCTCTTTTTTTTTTTTTTTTTTTTTTTTTATGCACGGTTTAATTTCCACACTGTACTAAAATTTGAAGCATATGTCCTCTTCTCATTTAGTTCATCATAGAAGGAACAAAAATATGCTATTCCTTACAGAGTACTTAGAGCGACGTTTAAAGAATTTCCACTTCTGCAAACCCGTAACACATTTCCCAATTTTGACGTGCTTTATTTTTTTATATATACTACATTTCCATGCACCCACCCCTCCTACTCCAAAAAAAAAAAAAAAAAAAAAAAAAAAAATCTCTTTAATTCAACTAATGCTTTACGACCTTTTTTTTTTTTTTTTTGTATATTTTCCATCTTCCTCATACACCTCCAAACCATTTTAAAATGGTGAGGGGTGTCAATGTTTTGCTTATCTTTATAATTTCATGGAGTCACTAGTGAGAGACTAGTGGCTGCTACAGGAGCAACAGATACTTATAAAAATAAATTTTAATAAATGTTCCACTTACATATTTCATATGAGAAAAAACTTAGAGAGGCAAATTAATCATAAGAGAAACTTAGCAGAAAAAAAAAAAAAAAAAGTGTACCCGTAATTTTTTGCATTCCACCAATCCGATAAATTAGCGTACCTTAACACACACACAAGCACAAATACGAACAATTGATCTCCTAAAGAATGCTGGAAATTTTGTGCATTGATTTGATTAACGAATTGTTCATAACAAAACACAAGTTTCTACTTGCCATGAAACTGAACAATTTGCTGAATGAAAAATATCAAAATTGGAAAAAAGACGAAATTGACAAAACGGTTAAAGTAGAGTCACCAACGCTGTCACAATCAAATGCAAAATGGCATATTCCTGAATCACCACAAATGCAGGGAAAACATGGTTACTCCAATTTTAGCAATTTGAAAAAAGATGAGACAAGAAGAAAAAAAAAAAAAATAATAAACTTCAAAAAGTTAAGAAAACATATAGTAGATATAAATGAATACTGTGATGCTTATTGTTGGGGAATAAAAAGTGACGATAAGCCATTGAATTGTCACACTGCTTGTAGGATGAACTGCGGTGTTCGTTGCACCCCATACAGTTATGCACGTTCACAGTTTGTATTGCGAAATTATGAAAAAAGAAATTTCATTTTGAACAAAAAAGAAAGAACATTGATTAAAAAAATCATTCATCTTCATATTAAAGAAAAAGACATAGTAAAAAATAAAAAATATTCATTTTATTTAAACAATAATGAAGAAACAAAAGGAGTAATGAACAATTCCTTATTTGAAAATCCATGCAATCAAAGGAAAGATAATCTTGTAGATATTTTAAATGATGAATTAAGTGAATATATTACCAAAGACTTTTACCCTTTTTTGCCTCTCCATAACTTTACGCAAGAATCCCAACCTCCGAACAAGAAAAGTTTAAGTTATCTCATTAATATGGAAAAAATTAATGAAATTTTAAAAAGAAAAAATAAAATAAAAAGTACATTACCAGGAAAATATATGAAAAGAACAGTTCTTCTTTCTTCGAAAAAGTTAAATAAGCATTATATAAAATTCATAACAAAGTTTCGCTTGTTTATCAAAAAAATCAAAGAAGAGAAACACAAAAGTGTCTACTCGACGCATTTGCCTGATGTTAAGTATACCATTTTAAAAACACTTCTGTATTTAAAAGGAGGTTCTACTCCACGTAGCACAACCAGTAGTGGATCCAGCAGCGGAGCAAGTTGTAGAACAGGTAATATTAATCAAAGTAATAATAATTCTGCCATTCGAGATGACATCCAGTGTGAGGTGCTGCCGACACGTAGACCTACAAGCAGAAATGTAACTTCCAGTGCAAAACTAAATCTGAACAATGGGAAAGGTAAAGGTGAACATTATGAAATATATCAAGCTATTTCTACAATTCATTTTCTGAAAAAGAGCTTATATATTATCAGAATGGATGTTATGTACATTTTTATTTTTTTAATGTCCTATGTGAATAGCATCCTTTCCAAGTTAAAAAATGGACGTTTGGGTGTGAAAGCGAAGATGAGAAAAAAAGAATGAATGTGTGCAAAATTCGTGCTGAATGATGAACTTTTTTTTTTTTTTTTTTTTTTTTTTGGAATCTCCAAAGTTGTTTTTCCTACATTTCTGCACGAATGCAAAATAGCTCTCGCGGGAATGATCAAACGAATGTTGCAATACTGTCGGTTGGTCAGTTCGCTTGTTCATCCATTGATCAATTCATTTGTCGGGGTCTCCTCTTTGATGCTTAAGGTGTACCTTTTTTTTTTATACCTTAATCTTGTTTCCCCCCCTTTTTTTTTTTTTTTTTTTTTTTTTTTTCAAAATCCTGACATACTTATTATGGCTAGATTTTTGTTAAACACCTTGTTAACAAGCGCTCGGTTTTTTTTTTTTTTTTTTTTTAACCATTTCGCTTGTCACACTGGTTCGTCTAGACCTACTCATTCTGCTTTCCCCGCCCTAAACTGTAATGCCTTTTTATGTATATGAACAGGTATACAAAAAAAGATTGTATCGATTTTTAGTAAACATGTGGAATGTGCTCTTCTGAGTGACAAGAGTTCATGTGAGTTTGTGTAAAGGGGGACATGACAGAAAAAAAAAAAAAAAAAAAGCAGAAAAATGGAAAAGAAGAAAATAGAGAATTTCAAAATGGAAAAGTAGAAAATGGAGAATTCCAAAATGGAAAAGTAGATAATAAAGAATGCCAAAATGGAAAAGTAGATAATAAAGAATGCCAAAATGGAAAAGTAGAAAATAAAGAATGCCAAAGTGGAAAAGTAGAAAATAAAGAATGCCAAAGTGGAAAAGTTGAAAATAAAGAATGCCAAATGAGAAAAAAATGCTTGTTGTGTTACTCTCCAATTCAGCAAAGAACTCAAAAATTGAGAACGATATAAAACTTAAAAAAAAAAAAAAAAAAAAAATCCGTGAACACACAGTTGTGCAAACGAACCTGTGACAAAACTGTGGAGAGTGATGAAATAGATAAACGTTCCAAATGAATACGCGATTAGGAAACCTGGAACATGTTGCGCAACTTGTGCAAATGATTCTTCCCACTCGGTAGCACTTCTTTTCCCTTAATGTTATTATCTATCCGTTGAGAGAAAGACAAAGCTTCCTCCCCGAGTTTCTTTTTACTGATATATTTATTTCTTCCCACATAGGAGGATACATTTTGTCGTATGCACTTACAGTTTTGCATTCGATATATTCTCCATTTATTCGTGAAAGGATGCAATTGGGGGTACTTTCCCCTTACTACTGTTGCAGTTTTTGATCTGCGTTTTTTCTTTGAATAGAAAGGATTTTTTTTTTTTCTCTTTAGCAAATCCAGGATTAAATTATTTATATAATATTTATTAAGGTTATTGTCTTTACATTTTTTTTTATTTTTTACATACCGTTTTGCATCAATACATATATAATTATATCCTATTTTTTTTACACATTTCAGTAGAGTATACTTTTTATAATTAATAATTTTTTTATTTACTTTATTCGTATGAGTACCATAATAAGACACGTAAATGTTATGTTTCTTTAGCTTACATTCTAAGGCATCATTCATGGAATAATAAAAGTCGTAGTTATACAAAATATCAACAAGGAGAAAATTTTTTCTATCCAATTCTTGAATTTGCTTATTCTCACGATTGTTTTCAGATTCACTTAAACATGTGTTTAAACTTCTTACCAAACCGGCATTCCTTATATTATCCACATCATTTAGCGTTAACAAATTAATAGCTAATGGAAAATAATAATTTGATATATTTATATCTTTGTAAATTTCTACATTTTTATGATATATTAGTAAAATGTCTTGGAATATTTCATCCTTTATATCTCTATATTCAGTAAGATAACCTTTAACACCGTTAACATTTGGGAACAAATGTCTCATTTTACTCGTACTTGACATCTTTTCTAGCCCATAATTAGGATACCCAACGGCCACTTCTTTGATATTAACATCATCTACGTGGTGTAGAAAAAAATTGCTAACACTTTCATCTTTTTTGTCATTTCTGTCATTTTCTCCTGACCAGGGAGGGTATTTTTTTACTCCCTTGCGGAGGGCGTAAATCTGCTGCCCCACAACATGAGCGCTGAAGTTCATATTATTTCTTGCACCTTTTTCTGCCTCGTTTCTAATCCCATCCTCTGACTCTGGACGAGTGCTGGAAGAACGGCATAAGTCTGCCAATGTCCCAACTGAGTGCACATTTTTAAACAACTTGAAATATTCCAAAGGTAAAGAATTGTAGACAGGAGTTATCTGAATTTTCTCCAACTCGTATGTACTTTTTAATTTTTTAAAATTTTTTAAAATATAATTTATAGCATTTTGTGTGCATGTAGAGGAGAAATTCGAAAATCTCCCTGTTTCATCCTTCTTTCTCGAAATGAGTAAACCAAGAAGTTTCAAAATTGATATGCATTCATCTAGGGAGTTAAAATTTACAAATTGGAGTATTTTATGTATACCTAAATATTCTAGTATATTATATAAATTAAATTTCAAAATAATGTTCATAAGTTTTTCTAAATATATATTATTTAAATACAAAATGTCTTTCTCCAAATTGTACAAGTGCTTAATAATTCTAAAATCCCTTACATTTAGCTTCTCATATATGCACAAAATGTTTATGATGTTATGACTTGTCAATGTTTCATTTCTTATGGAGTTCACTAATTTTAAGCAAACAATTTTGTAAACATCCAGATAGAGACTGTAGCACCTGATTTTATATTCACCATTTGCGCTGCAGGTCTCTCCTTTCCCTTCTGCCATTTCAAAGTTGGAACATTTCTCAGAATTGGAACATTGCTCAGAATTGGAAAACTGCTCATAATTGGAACACTGCTCAGAACTGCAATTGGTACTACGCGAGATGGCCACATTGCTGCAGTTAACAAAATTAGTTATTAAGTCACTAGTACCTCTTGCCCACACAGGAGATTTAACATTCTTCTGATCCACAACATTATTTGAAACCTCTTTGTTGATCGTGTATGAATTTATTTCTTGGGGTAATTGGGACTTGATGAGAAATTTTCCATTCGATGATTTTGCACCATGCACTGGGATTGAATGGTTCACGGTTTTGCAATTATCTGCCGTTTTTTTCAAATTTATAAAATATTTCAAATTTTGTTCGTGTGGAAAGATGTCATCACTTTTCTCATTTTTTCTAACACGCGCAGGATATTTGTAAATAAAATTATCATACAAAAATATTTTATTTTTATCTCTTTTTCTTTTTTTCTTCAAGTAGAGTACATCATCATGCATATAATACACATCCGTATCATCATTATTTTTTTTATGTTCATTTCGAGCGTTAGTTTCATGATAAAATTCGTTTTCTTCCAGATTTCTGTTTTTATCATATATGAGAAAAGTTTTTTCTTCCCCATTTTGTTCATAAACTTTAAGAGAATATTTTTTTAAATCATGAAATAGACACGTCCTTATGTATAAATACTGATACACGAACATAACTTCATTTTTTGTCAGCTCCTTTTCTATGCACACTAATCGTTTCATAATGATTTTTTCAAATTGGATATATGTTCTATTCGTCCTTTTCAATAAGTAGAGTAATAAAATTATTTGTTTTACACTTAGGAAATCATTTCGATAAATTATTTCTTCCATTAGCGTGTTAATAAATTCTTCCTCTTCACAAGTGTTGTTATTAATTTTTAAAATGTAATCCATGGGGAGAAGAGGATCAATGTTATTCTCGTGTTCACTAACTCTTCCATCTTCATTTTTTTTTTTAAACTCAGTTTTGATATACACATTGAGATAATTTTCGATATTTATTCTGTCTTTACTCAGAAAATTAAAGTACTTTTTGTTAATACTTACATTTTTGTCAATAGATGCAAATAGCATGTTTATAACTTCTTCTATTTTGAAGCATTTTAATTTTTCCATGATGGCGTCCCTAACTCTGTTGACTAAATCGGTTACAGTTTCTTCACAGGTTAGTGCGTTCCTTGTTTCATTTGCATCTGTATCCTTTGATAACTTTGGCAAATCCATTTCTGCACTACTGTCTTTTCCATAGTATGATGTACGGATTTTTCCTTCCCCAGGAGTGGATGTGCCTACATTGGGGATCCCCTTAGTGATGCCTTTCTCCATCAGGTCAATTTTCGACAGCTCAGACTTTGAGGAAGTGATATTCAGTGCATGATCATTACCAGTGTGTACATCCATCATATGATCTATTATTCGATGGGATGTAGAAAGTGGTATTTTCTTCTGCAAAGAATTACTTGATGGTTGTAAATGAAGAGGAAGTTCTTGCCTAAGTATCAAATTTCTTGTGTTGTTATATTTCGAATTTTTGACAGAATTTTTAAAAGAATTATAAATATGAAAAGAAGACAAAAAGGTAAACATTAAATCGGTTGAGTTGAAGAGGTATATATTTTTTTTGATAATTTGTATAAAATTTTTTGTCATGTAAAAAAAAGAATTGAAATGTTCAAAATTTTTCAGAAAGTATAGACTGTATGAATAAAAAAATAAGGTTAATGAATGAAAATTTATATTCTTCAAATCATTGTGAATTTTTAAAATACTTAAATGAAAAATTTCATCCGTATACAACTTCTCAGTTATGTCAATATTTCTTGATAAACTAAAAGTAATCAATGCCAAATCTTTATAGGATAAATTTTTATTCATTTTTATCAGTATAGACTTACTTATCAAATTAAGATAATACAAATTATCAAATTTATTTTTTCTTAATATTAATATGAGTAGACTTAATTCTCTTATTGTTAATTTATACATATCATGTTCTAATTTTTCACAAATAAAATTTAGTACTTTTTTTTCTATACAAATATATTTACTTAACAATTTTAATATAATCATAAAATCCACGTAATTACAAAGTTCCTTGTTACACAATTTCAGTATTAGTATGTATAGATAATTATTCCATACATTTTTAGATTTCACATTTTTTTTTTTGCATAGCTCTACGTTCTTTCTAATACTACTAATATCCATACTCTTCAGTGTCTTCCTTTTTGGAATATTCATATATCTTCGCCTCGACATCTCCATCACCCTAACTACATCTCTGCCTTTCGTTAGGGTTCCTCTTTGATATGAAATCCATGCCACCCTTATCTTCATGTTGAAATTTGGGAGTGGGAGAAGCGATTGCATCTACTAATGTGCATGCAGATTCAATGAAGGACAAAAATATATTTTTTGTTTCATTGGAATATCCTCACTCAGGTATTCTCCCTAAGGCGAGAAATATCATTACGAGGTTGCCTGTCCGTGGCACGGCTTTTCCTCTGGTTCTTCTCTTCTTCCCTTGCCTCTTCTCCTCTCTTCTTTCTTCTTTCCCTTTTGTATGTTCACCCTTTTGCCAAGATAGCGAACGTCCTTACTCATACTCCTCCTTATATGTCTCATACATGGGGTAGACACGAAGACTTTTTAAAAGTGCACGATTAAATCGTCGTATAAAATCCAACTTGAAATAATTTTCATATGTAAAGAAAAAATAACTTGACATGATAGAAGCAACTTCATAAAAAGAAAATTCATTATATAGTAAAACATTTTGTATAATAAAAAAAAAAGGTACGTATTCAGCCTTAATTAGGAATAATTCAAAGCAGTTGATTAGAGTGCCTTCATTTATTCTGCTCCAGTAGTAAAGTATGTACGTTGAAAAAACATAACCAAGATGATTATAGTGTTCTTTGTTTATATTTATTTCGATTTTTTGTTGATTAGCATTTGCCCCTTTTAAAATAATATTTCTAATTGTTTTGATATATTTTTGCATATTCATTATATTTTCATTGTACATACTTCCAATGATTGTAAATAAAAGGTTTGATAAGTACCCAAAGGTGATAAAAATTAACAAATCTTCTGGATTTTTATAATGTGCAATTTCTACGGAAGACATATATATGTGTAAATAATTAAACATTAGAAAATATTGTAAGTACAAATTCCCTATATATAAATATGGAGTTAGTAATCTCCATACTTGCCATTCATGGAATATCTTTTTAAAATCAAATAAAATTAACTTATATACATTCTTATTTAAATGTATACATATACTTAACAGAAGTGTACTTATTAAGTATAATTTTGTAATTGGAGGTGTTCTCTTAAACGCTTTGATATATGAATAGATGTAATTATTTTCTATGTAATCTAAATTGAATAACGCCTTAATACTTTCCTTTATTTCATTTAATGATGTTGTAGAATGTTTTATAAAAAATAAGGGATAACGTAATTTCTTGTTTTTCCTTTTTTCATTTTCTGTTGCCCAGAGTTTCGAATAATTCAATACAAATTTTTTTTTCTTCTTTTTATTTAATATTTCTTTTTTTTCCTTAGTAAAATAGTACGAATGTTCTCTTCCTATGTTTTTCTTCTTTTCACTAATCAGCAACTTATTATTTTTGTGTTTTCTGTCATTTTTCAGGTTCGTCCTTTCCCGGTGTGCTAATAACACACGTGCACTGCTGTTAGGTAAATTCGACGCAATTTTGGTGTTCATACAAACCCTTGCGTGATGGCACCTCACACTTATAATTGTTATGCATAAAAGAGCGAATATTTTACACGAAAAAAACATTTTATATCTAATCAGGAGATATTTCGGCGTGATTATTATCTAGCGATTTCACAAAAGAAAGAAGAAAAAAAAAAAAAAAAAATTGTTCAGTTTATGCCTTGTTCTGCTTTTGCTGATGCTTCGATTTTATGATAATCCCCTTTTTCGGCAGTTTTTTTTCTCATTATGATAAGAAAACACCAAAATAAAAAAGCTGTTTTTTTTTTTTTTTTTTTTTTTTTTTTACACATAATTAATTCCTGTCAACAATTGAGAAACTCCCAAAAAGTATTTTTCCAACGGTCGCTAATTTTTTTTCAAATATATATATATATATATATATTTTTTTTTTTTTTGCATATTCCCTGTGAACAGGTGAGAAACTTCCAAAAAGTATTTCTACAGCAGTCCCTAATTTTTTTCTATTGTATATATATATAATATGTTTTTTTTTTCTCGCATTGTCTTATTAAGAGAAATGCGTTAGGGGAAGGCGAAGATTGGTGTGCTTATAAGGGAGGAACAAAATAAGCTGTCCCCTAATTTATGAAAATTTGAGAAAAATTATGTAGAGCGTTATATTATTATCTGTCGCTTGTTTCCTGTTCTCCTTGATGGGGTACATGTACTCCCATTTTTTTTTTTTTTTTTTTTTTTTTTTTTTTTGGTCCATTTTTTTTTTTTCTGTAAACAAATTGGGAAAAAAAGATGTTTCCGTTGTATATACGCTACATGTTATTAGAGATTATAAATATCAAAGAATTAAAAAGCAACTGTATTTTGTTTATTCAAAAATCAAATTGTGAATTTTAAGAAATGGAGAGCAAATGTGTGAGTGAGCGCCGGGATGGTAGGTCGATAAATAGGTAGATAAATAGCTAAATAAGAGGCTGATAAATGGGATAAATACGTAACTGTAACTTAATAAATAACTAAATAAAACAACGAATTTGTGAAGTGTCATAGGGGGAAATGTAGTACGATGATACGATAAATATGAACAGGATACACATAAAGAAACTCGTGAAGAGTTCAAAATGGTGCTAAACTTTTTAATGAAGAAAAAAAAAAAAAAAAAAAATACACATTTAAAAATGTAAAAAGGGATTGTGGGGAAAGAATAATAAAAAAATAATAATAATAATATATAAAAACATAAAAAATGGAGGAAAAAAAAAAAAAAAAAAAAAATTAAGGGGTAATAAAATCCTAAACATTTGTGTTTTGTTAAAGCAAACTTGAATTCCTTTTTCCTCACTTCTCAAATGGTTATATGTTATAATTTTTAACGCTCTAATCCAAATTGATGGATTGTGGTCAATCTTTCAATATTAGGTTTTGAACACTGTCTCTTTGATGGTATGCTACACCAATATATACGCTATAAAAAATACGGAATGGTGGCCTTGTTTTTTATGGAATTCCGTGAGTCAGGTGTATCCTTGAATATGAGCATCTGTCGATTCATATTTTCATCGATACGCATGATTGCAGCCACATTTCCACATCTGTAACAGTAGTTGGGAGCTGACCACACGGTGATGATAGTGGAATCATCAAACATGTATCGATACCCCTCCATAGCTAGCTGATGTGCCCTTGCTATTAGTTCAAGATTGTTAATGTAATTGAATTTTTTCGTAACTTTAGGACCGAATAGCCAACCAGCTCCTCTAGGATTGGCAACCCAATCTTCGACTTCGTCCGGATCTGACCACATAATATCACCAAATGCACCTTCATGAGGTATTTCTTGAACCCTATTTATTAATCGTAACTGATCAATTAATTTTATTTCAGGTGATAAACCACCATGTACACAAAAAATTTGATTGTCTACAAGAGCTGCTAATGTTAAATAATCAAAAATATCAGTGCAGTATTTCCATGCATTTGCATTTCCATATTTTTTAAAACATTCATCATAAAATCCATATACTGTCGTTATCTGTCTACTTTCATGATTTCCTCGTAATAAAGTTATATTTTTAGGAAACAATAATTTTAACAATAATAAATATTCAAAAGTTTCTACACTGTTATACCCTCTATCTACATAATCTCCCAAAAATATGTAATCATTATTCATTATATCTCCTCCTACATCAAATAATTCTAATAAATCAAAAAATTGACCGTGTATATCTCCACATATAATAACTGGTGGATTTATTGCCTGAACATTATTTTCTTCTACCAGTATTTCCTTAACTCTTTGACAAACAAGTCTTAAATCATTTTCATCCAATAATTTTGGTGGATTCATGCGCAACTGTTCAATCCATTTTTTTTCTTCACCTCTTGTCATTATTGATATTTTACCTTATAAGTAAAGCTGCTAGTGCGAGGAATGGATGAAATTGAGATATGTATAGGTAAGAGACGAGGGAGCAGTTAACGGTGCAGGAAGTAGAAGAAGAAGCGAGCGAGAGAAAAATAAAAAAAAAAAGGATAAGTGTTGCATTCTTTTCCTTTCTTTTTTTTTTTTTTTTTTTTTTTTTTTTTTTTTTTTGGAATGTGTAATTCGTGGGAAGAATCAATTCTTTAAAAAATATATCCAAATGGAATAATCACATGAAGGGAACGATTTAACAAAATGTGGAACCGAATCTTAAGTTCATTTCAGTGTTTTCATGTAGAAAAGAAGGTGCAAAAAATCATGTTCATTCTTTGTCGATATTATCCACATGTACATAAGTGCTCTGGAAAAAAAAAAAAAAAAAAAAAAAAAAAGTATACCTTTTAATGGGTGTATCATCGAAGATATAGAGAAATAGAACGTGATTAATGCTGTGATACTAGAAGCGAAAAGTGCGAATAAGGGAGGTGCTAAAAATAGGATGAAGTAACAGCGTCACAAAGTTACTAAACCATGAAAGCACGACGCATAAAATTACAATTATGGCTAAATGGGTATGAAATTATCTGAAATTGAGGCTACGTAAAGACTCAGCTAACGTGGAGATAAGTCTAGCTGGAGATACAGGAAAAAAGAGATTTGGATAAAGGGCAAACTGACTAAA